CCACATTAGCACAGAGATGCAGTGGTCGATTCAAATCCCTTAGTGGTAGAGGTGGTAAGAATATAAACAGTTATTGGAAAGATTAGGGTTTGAAGATCTTATTCAAAAAGTATAATACAGTGAAATAAATTTTGAAAGAAAATAAAGGACATGAAGAATTCAGAAGATTAAAATTTGGGAGAACACAAAGAGTGGATGCACCTGCGTCATTGCAAACGATTTTGAGCCATGTCATTCAGGGTCTCTAACCATCGGTTGCTATCATCTCGCAGTCCCCAACCAGGTAGTCTACACCTACTAACATGACTCAGTCCACTTGTCAGTGACTTCATGAACTTGTGCCATGTTTTAGTCTGGCCGCCCCTAGCTTTCTTCCAACTTATTCCTATACCACTGAACATCGCACGTCGAGGTAGTCGGTCGTTGGGCATACGTAACACGTGTCTTAGCCATCTCAACTGATGAAGTTTCACTACGTCATCAATTGATTTGCCATCCTTACCTAGTACCCGTTTCCTAACAACTGCGTTACTTACTCGATAGTCCCAGGATATACGAGCAATATTTCGAAGACACCTATGATCGAATACTAGTAACTTATGGATGTCCTCTACTCTTACCGGCTATGTTTCACTGCCATAAATTAGGACGGAACGAACTGCTGCGCAGTAAACCCGTCCTTAATTTGATGGACGGATATCTCGCCTACGCCATGAATGACGCAAGTTGGCAAAAGCTAGTCGAGCCTTCTGTATCCGTGCTGAGATTTCTTCACACACCAAACCACAAAGTCTGATGCGACTTCCAAGATGAGTGAAGCGGTCGACACGCTCAATTACTTCACTCCCTATCACTAGTTCGGGTGTCGATGTAACCCAATCCTGAAGCAACATTTTGCATTTCGAGGGAGAGAATCGCATCCCGAACATGCTTGCATTGGTGTTTAGAGTGGTCAGAAGACTCTGCATTTTGTCAGCGTCCTCACCAAATAAAACTATGGTATCAGCATATTCTAGGTCAACAAGTGAATCTCCCGGTAGTAGTTCAACCCCTGGAAATTTAGATGAGGAGAGTGTAATCTCTAAAAGTACGTCGACCACAAAGTTGAACAAGAATGGGGAGAGTGGACAGCCCTGACGACCACCACTTGAGGTAGTCAATTCTGATGACAGTTCGCCATAAGCTCTCACTCGACCAGTTGTGTTCGAGTAGAGAGCCTGTATAAGGTTAATGTACTTCTTTGGTACTCCTTTCAGTGACAAACACTGCCATAAAACCTTACGATCGACAGAGTCGAATGCCGCCTTAAGGTCGAGAAATACTACCATTGTGGGGCGTCTGAACGTGTTTCTGTGTTCTAGAAGCTGACGTAGTGTGAGTATCTGATCTATACAACCACGTCCAGGTCGAAAACCGGCCTGGTTTTCTCTAGTCTTCTCTTCACGAGCTTGAGTTAGGCGTCAAAGTATTATTGAAGCTAATATTTTAGACACTATATTTGTCACACTGATTGCTCTATGATTGTCACAAGAGGACTTTTGTCCTTTCCTATAGACTGATACAATCAGTGATTGAGACCAGTCAGATGGGATTGCGTCCAGTTCCAAAATTCTACCTAAGACCTCGGTTAATCTCACTGCTAATACTGAACCAACATCCTTAAAAATCTCATGAGTAAACCTGTCAGGACCTGCTGCTCTCCCTCGTTTCAACTTCGTAAAGAGACGGAGGACCTACATTAATTTGCCATTCAGGTTGACTAGAGATCGTGGGAAATCGAAGTGTGGCTGAAGGCCAGTTGAACTGATCCCTAAAGTGTTCTGCCCATCGATCCAATCTCCTGGATTGTGAATGTATAATATGTCCATCTTTCTCTAAGAGTGTTTCGCTAACAGTCGGTTTCCTAATACCGGTTTCCTTAACGAGTCTGAACAGTTATCAGCTATTACCTATCGCCGCTGCCTTTTCCATCTCTCTTGCTTTTGCTACCCACCACTGTTCGCGATCATTGCGTAGACTTCTTCTCAGCTTGCACTTAAGCTGACTCCGATCTTCATTATGTTCAGAGCCAGGTGGAATGAGTTCCCGAGCATCTATCAGTGCGATAGATGCTGCTGAGATCCAGTGTTGCTCCCTAACATTCTGGTTTACCTTACTAGCAGATATCACTGCTGTTTCCACAGCTTTTCGGATATCATTCCATGCTGCATCGGGGTGGGCATCACATGCATGGCTGCCTAACTGTTTTCCTAGTTGTTCCTGAAATATACTCTTAGCTTGACTATCATTAAGTAGGCCCCTAAGAGGTTTCCTTGCAGCATCTTTCCTACGTCCAGTAAGACTAAGACAAATTCGCGCTCACACTAGAGCATAATCTGAGTCTAAGCACGTGCTCTAAAACGAGCGATAGTCTTCTACCGAGCCCCTTCATCGGTGGCTGATAGCAATGTGATCTATTTGGGTCCAACGTTGGGACGAGTTAGGGGGTCTCAATGTTGAAAGATGTTTTTCCTTATGCTTAAAGTTAGTATTTGCAAGGAACAGGCGGTTATCTGAGCATAGCTGCAACAGACGGTCGCCATTATCTGTTCTTTGAGCCGCGACTCCATAAGATCCACCCAGGTGTTTTTCCCTTTCGCTTAGTTTACCTACTTGGGCATTAAAGTCACCAGCCACTATCACTAAATCAGAGCGGAAAGCTTTCTGTGAAACTCATCATTTACATCATCTGAGCTGCAGTCAGTGGGAGAGTAGGCAGAGACGACGAAGAGGCAACGATGAGTGTCCCTATCTTCCCGAGCCCTTGCTGTTCCATTTAGTTGGACTGTCTACTGAGATCCAGTCTATGAGAGCTAGTTTTGCCCTAGGAATCAATGCTATACCTATGCCAGCGAGGCGACGGGAAGCAGCATCATGGCTTCCAGATACACGAAGTGTGAATCGAGTTAGTTCTTTACATTGATATGGTGAGGTCAAATGAATGACGCTACTCGAATCCTGTATGCGCGTTTCGGAGACGCAGTACACATCGATGGTGCGAGATTCTAAATTCCTAACTAAGGAAGCCTGTTGTCCTATTTGGCACAGTGTTCGTACGTTAAAAGCTCCTACGTGTAGTTTAGAGCGTGGTTTCAGGAGACCAAGAATAACGTTCCGCGTACTCGAATCGTTTGCTTTAGTGGGACGAGGTGATAAACGGACGTGAGAAGGGTTAGTCGTGGAGATAAGAGGGGGATTAGGTGTAGGAAGGATTTGAATGTGACCGACTTGGCCTCGTGTGCTGTTACGGGTATGAGGGCTGATATAACTTCCCGGCTACCCAAACCTTGGAAGGGTATTTCTTGAAGAACCTGAAAAGGAAGTTGGATTAGTGTTGGTATTAACGACTTGGGAGCGTGACCGCAGAGCCCAAGGGAGAACTGCTTGAGGCCGGTCACGCATGGCCTTTTCGTGGCGAGCTTTTGACGTGTTAGCTTCGTGCTTCAAAGGGCCTTACCGCCGGAGACGGAAATCCGTGAGGTAAATGAGGTGTGAAATTTTTAGGGTCGACCTTTTCTAACCCCACCCCTTCTTGTGTGAAGGCAGCATCGCTGCAGATGCTGGTTGTCCAAGGGAAACACCTTACTGCTGTTACACCCTTCTACAGTCAGCAGTACAACTTCGCCCTCAGACCTTGAGTTGCTGCTTTTAGTTTTACCGTTCTCCAATAGACCTGCCTAGCATGGTAGAACCTACAGGAACATATGTTCCAGCCAATATAGCTCGGTTGGGTCATCACGATAGGCAAGCCCGACCACCACTTCCAGGTAGCAGCTATGGTCGGGCAATCCATATTTTATTATATTAAATAAGTAAACTAATAAGTTCCAGTGAAAACCTAGGATTTTTAATAGTTGAATTCATGAGTTAATTGAAGCTAGACTACTATAGAAAACCTCGAAGCACTGGGCAGTTGTTTCGTTCTGTTATAAGACTCCTCAACAGTGCGCATCCATGATCCCGCATCAAAGAGCCTCGAATCCAAGACATTCTGTCGTGCTCACGAGATGGTCATGCAATATTATGTATCGATTGAAGTTAGATGTTAACACTGTTGGACGCCATATCAGTGGTCTAGAGGTTAAGCATTTGTGCTTGAGACTGAAGGTCCTGGCTTGGAGTTCCGTACGCAGGGTCTTGGGTGCGAACTATTGAGAAGTTCCATGATCAAACAAAACGGCTATCCAGTACTTCCAGGTTTTCAGTGGCGGTCTAGTTTGGATCAACTCATGAATTCAACTGTTAAAATACTACAATTTCCACAAATCCTCTTACTAATAGGAACTTAGGATTGTTTATTCAACTTATGATTTTGCTTACCAGACTCATAGAATCTTGAAGTTTAAGTTATCATGAAACAATAGTCACAAATAAATTGAACACATTTAGGATGTATTGAAGTTAAAGGTTAGTCGTTAACGTGTTTACTTAGTAAAGCAGTTTTCATAATAGATAAACAAATGCTGGTTAAATTAAATACATGTGTACATTTACACATGCTTTATGTTTTATGAAATGTAGATTGCTAGTATTTGTGTATGTATGTACGTCGTTTATTGTTGGTTGGTTCCAAAGAATCCATAGGAATTGATTTCTCTAAGTTTTCTGCATTCAAGTATACATCAGTAAAAGTTTCCTAGAATTCTGACCGAACCAATTTCTCTTTGTTATCTTTGATATCTTACCGCGCTATGTAACAGTCGGTAAGTTACCAATGGATTATTAATGCCGAAAATGATTTTCTGTAATGTTAAAACATCTACATAGTCTATTATATTTCAACAGAGGTTTTTTTGTCAATTAGGCATTTTTGTCTGTAGATGTTAATAACTAAGTGATAATGTGCCGATTACAAGGACTGCTTAGTCTATATTGACTTGAAGAGATTTAAAGATCTATAAAATGAATAATATCACTTTAGATAATGATTTGATCGTCAGTTATATACAAAACAATGAATATTCTAAATGATCCATAATTTTTATGATTTATTTTTGTATGCTGATTCTAAAATTGTAATAACAATACATTTTGTTTACCAATAAAAAAAAGTGTTCTTCTTATGCAATTCTAATGTAATCCGATCCTTCTGTATATGTTGTATTACACATGTGACCCAGCTAAAAATAATATAATAAATAAAAGAATAATTAGACTATCTAGAATGGATAACGTTCCTAAGTTAAATAACATTTTTAGACGAAAACCAAAGTTTTAGTAATTTAATAGTTGAATTCATGAATCAAATGAAGCTAGACCACTATGGAAAACCTCGAAGCACTGGACGGTCGTTTCGTTTTAGTATGGAACTCTTCAACAGTGCGCATCTATGATCCCACATCAAAGACACTCGAATTCAGGACATTCTGTCTCGCTCACGAGATGGTCATGCAACATTGTGTATCGATTGAAGTTAGATGTTAACACCGCTGAACACCAGTTAAGTAGTCTAGAGGTTGGGCGTTTGTGCGTGAAACCGAAGGTCCTGGCTCTGAGTCCCGCATGCAGGACTATAGATGAGAACTGCTGGGAATTTCCATATTGGGATGAAACGGCTATCCAGTGCTTCCAGGTCTTCAATGGTGGTCTAGCCTCAATTGACTCATGAATTCAACTATAAAATTATTAACAAGAGTTTGTAATTTTCCAATGCTGATATTCAGAAGAAAAATTGGTTAATTTCTGAGGACATGTTATTGTTAAGCGGATTGAGTCGATTTGGCATTATGGCTAGAATTAGGATCCAAGAAGTACATTTCGTCTTATTTAGAATTTATAGGTCGCCTGTTAGGGGTTCATTTTTTTCCAACTTTATTCATATTAATTCTTTTAAACTACTGGATAAAGGATTATTTTAGAAGTGCTAAATTATCTTCTGAGACTAAAGCTTCCTGTTTGAATCAAAACACCGACCGTGTTTTCTTGAAATCAATTACTTGAACAACGAAAAAAAAAACACCAGCTATTAGGATACTTGACAAAGATGGCAGATTGGCTGCTGATATTGTGAATTTTCGAAGACTGAGTTGAAGTCATTGCGTGAAATTGTTTCACAACCATTTGCAAGGTGCAGATGCATTCACTATTTCTATTTCCCTTGATCCTGTACTTTAAATTTATGTTATGCTATTTATCTTACAACTTCATTCATTTTTCTCCAGTTATGTTCTGTACTCCTTATCTTTTAACTACAATGGATGTTAATATTACTCCGTTATTCACATTGACAATTCCTCTCTACGTTGCTTATTACTGAATGACTTTTAATTATTTGTAAACATTCCAAAGTTAATTCTCATGGTTGAGTACAACCATTTTAAACCTAATCCCATCTAATATGTGTTCATAATACCTAATTGATACATTATGTTATGTGACAGTAGCTAGCAGAGGAATTCTGGATATATCTATACCATAGAGTTAATGTTTACATCAAGACTCGGTCCTAGAAGTATTCTTCCTTCTCTTCAAAATAAGTGACCACAATACTCATCAAATTATCCAACAGTTGTGGAATTTTCTTTACTTTTAACTACAAGGAATAGCATTTTTTTGCTGTTGATATCTAAGACTGAATTCGATTAGAGATCGATGATATCTAGGAATTTGAAGATCTGAATTCCATTGTTAGTTATTTACTAAGAATTTATTGATTTTGAAAATACGGGAATTTCAATAGTTAAGATCATGAGTCAATTGAAGATAGACCACCGTGGAAAACCTGAAAGCAATGGACGGCTGTTTCGTCCTATTATGGAGCTCCTCAGCAGGACGAAACGGCCGTCCATTGCTTTCAGGTTTTCCATGATGATCTAGCTCCATTAACAATGTGAGTTTTTTGTTTATTGTGTTTAAATAATATCTACTTTTCCCCCTATTTGTACAATACCGTATTCAAATTGTATTAGATACCAATTTTCGGTGAGAGTATAATTTATGGATGACATTCGAGAGACGCTAAACTGACCTTGAGAGTATATACCTAATAGCTAGGACAACATGAGGATTATAAACTAGTATGAGGAATTCGAATTATGAATTACAGTTGATGGTTAGGGTTAGGAATCAAATCTAAAGTTTTGATCACGAACTGACATCAGCTATAATACCAAAACTCTTTTTAGCCAAATAGATGAATGAAGTTCGCGCCAAAATCCTAGACCTGTTATCTTATATCTGATTGGTTCGTCCATAAATTATAGTCTCGTTCAATTTTCTTTTAAAAAGTTTTCTTTCTATAACTATATCAAATGTGTTTGTAAATAATTAATGTTTAAATTAAGTATTTACCTGACAAACAAAATGTGGTTCTACAACATGTTTGATTATATCGACAACATTTTCATAAAGTTTATTCAAAAATGTGGAACACTAAAATAAATACATAAAATACAATACTTCAATATATCAGAAGGGGTTTTGTGGAAATTGCAGTAATTTCAATAGTTGAGATCATGAGTCAACTGAAGATAGACCACCATGGAAAACCTGGAGACACTGGACGACCGTTTCGCCCTAATGTCGGACTCCTCAACAGTGCTCATCCATGATCCCGCCCCACGAGATTCAAACCCAGGGCATATCCGTCTCGCGCGTGAATGCTTAACCTCTAGACCACTGAACCGGCATCCATTGGCGTTAATGTCTAACTTCAACTAATCCATCAAATTGAGTGACACATCCACCATTGTCATCAGTGAGTTGCTACCTCACAACAGACACGGTTGAACTCCACTGGCCACTACGTCTCACTGGAACTCCAGGATATACCTCTTGAAGCCAGTCCCTAGTGAGAATATGTTGATTAGTATTAGAAGGGGTTTTGTGGAGATTGTAGTAATTTCAATAGGACAAAACGGCCGTCCAGTGCTTCCAGGTTTGTCATGTTGGTCTATATTCAATTGACTCATGATCTCAACTATTGAAACTTCAATATATGTTTATAATATTTTATATTTTAATATTATACATATTGCACAGTATGCAAATATGCCAATAAGAGAATGATCAATTGCAGTCTTAAACATTAATGGGAAGATACAAGTGAATTTTTCACGTTTGATCTTATTTATTTCTACACAATCTACACACACACACACGCACGCACCTGATTTCAACCCCACTACTTCATATTACATATGCATACATTTTTCACACTTTTCATACCCACATTCTGCCCCACAAATTAATACAGTGATAGGTCATACAAATTTAACTTAACATTGACATATGCTAACCTATTGTACCAAAATTATTCACAGATTTAAATCATGAGTCAGTTGAAGCTAGACCACCATTGAAAACCTGGAAGCACTGGACGGCCGTTTCGTCCTAGTATGGGACTCCTCAGCAGTGCGCATCCACGACCCCGCACCACGCGGGGCTCGAACCCAGGACCTACTGGCTTCGCGCGCGAGCACTTAACCATTAGACCACTGAGCCGGCATCCAACGGTGTTAATGTCTAACTTCAACCAATCCACGAAGTTGCGCCACCATATACCATTGTCTTCAGTGAGCTGATATCTCACAACAGACCTGGTTGAACTCCACTGGTAACGGCTTCCCACTAGAACTCCAGGAGTATCTCTTGAAGTCAGTCACTAGTGAGCAGATGATTATTATCAGAAGGGGTTTGTGGAGATTTTAGAAATTTTCACAGATTTAAATCATGAGTCAGTTGAAGCTAGACCACCATTGAAAACCTGGAAGCACTGGACGGCCGTTTCGTCCTAGTATGGGACTCCTCAGCAGTGCGCATCCACGATCCCGCACCACGCGGAAGCACCAGTGCTTCCAGGTTTTCAATGGTGGTCTAGCTTCAACTGACTCATGATTTAAATCTGTGAAAATTTCTAAAATCTCCACAAACCCCTTGTGACAAAATTATTCGTCATAGTTTCCTTTGTACTATTTAAACTTGTGTTAATTTAATTCGATTATTTATTTACTCTGAAGAAGTGGTTTACATTAAGTCACGAAACCTCAGAAATACAGTTTATCTGCTCATTGAGATATAACAAAAAATGTATTTATTAGGGTTGTGTTTGGTTCTGTGAATATACTGACAGTTGTTAGTAAGGCATATGTGTAATTTTGATGGGAAGGGGAAAGAATTATGATCTCTCTCGTTGGTTTTGCACTTGTGACGACGGACCACGGGTGAACTCGAGAAAGCCGTAGGAGGCTCAGAAGGAGTCGAAGATATTCCATCCCATCACCATTCGGAAGAATATTCTAGAATTCCGACGTGTGGCTTCCCGATTGGACAATGCTAATAACCCCCTGTATGCGGATTGGTGGACTGTTGTCATGATTTCGTTCTTACTAAAAACTATGAATACCTGACAATTTTGTACTATAATTGACACTGTCTGGGATTAATATTCCTTTCATTAGTCTTCTGTCTTCTCATTGCGACTTGGAAGGGTTCTGGCGTTCTAGTGCTCACGTTATACGCGGTATATTAAGAACAGCCTTCTGGATATAACAACACTCGTATCAGTCAGTATTATTGTCAAAGATATTACCACTAGATGATCCAGACTATGAATAACCTTATAAATGTATTCAGTCACTTCGTTTTATTAGTGGATATAACTAAAACTGAAAATTCCGGTTAACATTTGATACACTACGATTTCATTATATGACATGATTTGAATTAGACTAATAGAAAAGCCTAATAAGTTTCAATAAATATCGCATTGAATGATAGCGTTTCATGAGGCACATTCTGATTTTCATTAATATTCAATTTATTTTCATGAGTCGGTCTAAGCTATACCACAAATGAAAACCTGCAAGCACTGGATGACCGTTTAGTTCTCATATGGGACTCCCCAGCAGTGCAGATGCACAATCCCACACTGGAGACTCGAACCCAGGGCCTTCGGTTTCATTCGCCAACGTTTTACCCTTAGACCACTGAACCGGCATCCAATGGTGTTAGTGTCTAACTGCAACTGAACATAAATCTTTCACAATCTTTCATTCATCATCTGAAGTGGATAACTGTCTGCACTTGACATGGACTGGACTACACTGGTTACGGTTTTTCAACTTATTTTATCTGAACATTATTTTTATTCCAAATAACGAAATTAATAAATTTATGTTCACCAACGATTGATTGTCATACACGAAAGAAATTCACAACTGGAATTCTCTACCAGAACATTCAATATCATCATCTTCTATTGATATATTGAAAGCGAAAATGGATCTTCACAGTACTGAAAATTGCAGGGATTAATATGGTTCGATTGATTTCCTATCCTTACTCCTGTAGACTGAAGACATGCCAGGCTGTTTTACACTGTATAGGTTTGTGGTAAATAGTCGCTGATTACCTCAACTTATCAAAATGATATCTTTTGTGAAAATTATTCCCAAATATACAGCTTTCACCAAATAGATGAACGGAAAAATGGTAAAAAGTTCTGGGTACGACACAAGTATTAAACAATCAAAAGATTGGGGATATACCCAATCTATATTAAAAAAAAACAACCTTGAATGAAATTTATGTCGTCAGTATTGTATAAAACATAAAAAATGAAATTAGAAATAAAGCTCATAATTGAAACTAATACATGCACTACTTACTTCTACTTCCAATCTTACATAATCACATACATGTACAAATACAGATTGTAATTCATTTAGAAGAGCATCGGATAATAAAATATTTTTGCCTTCCGCTACACTCATTAAACAAAGTGGACAAACTAATTAGGAAAAAAAAGCAGGAAATTAAGAAGATCAATTTTACTTTCCTCAATAAATATTTAAATGTTTATGTAATCTTTTAAATAGGATGGATAAATAAATAAGTAGTATCTCGAGTGTATATAGATGACTATTATAAACAAAGATGGATGGGGGGCTAGCAGTGGAATCCATAACGCGCATTTTGTCCTATTTGAGACTTGACAAACAAATGTCCCAGAGTGGACATCAACTCTGAGATGCAGGTACATCCAGCTGACGAAACCCAAATGGGATGAAACGCGTGTCCTGGATTCCACTGTTAGCCACTATTCATATTTAACAAGGGAATCGGTTTGTATATTTTTCAACACAATTATATTCTTTTTCTATTAATTTGAACGGAAAAAAGGATACATTATGCTAATGGCTATTTATCTGGCTTAGCATTCTGATTAGAGACTAAGCAATGAGATGACATGATAAAAAAACAGTATAAGACTAAGTATACTCATCATCATTGATATGGATTAATTCATAAAATCGAATGGGTCAAATTCACTAATCAGCCATTGCATAACAACCAATATCATAACGTTATTTGATGAGAATTCAACTCAACTGAAAAGGATAGTTTATTTTGAGGTTACTTGTTCTTAATCTAAAATCAACTAATCATCTTTAAAATTAAATCACACCAATAAACTACAACAAATTACAGTAAATGAAAACTGTAAGTTTAATTTCATTTGAGTCAAATAATAACCGGACATAATCAGTTTGTTTCAAAAGTGATAATATCATTTAGTAAATCAATAATTAACAATAGTGTCAAGTTGAATTGTCATAGTGACTAAATAACAATTCAATATCAGAAGGGGTTTTTGTGGATATTATAGTAACTTAAATAGTTGAGATTATGAGTCAATTGAAGATAGATCACCATGAAAAACGTGAAAGCACTGAACGGCCGTTTCATTCTATTGTGGGACCCCTCAGCAGTGCTCATTCACAGTCTCGCCTCGTGAGATTCGAGGAGTTTCACAATAGAACGAAACGGTCATTTAGTTCTGCCAGGTTTTATATGGTGGTCTAGCTTCAACTGATTCATGATCTCAAGTAATAAAAAAAAACAATTTCTATAGTCAATGGTACTTTTTTAAGCGATTGTTCAATTAATAAGAAAAATTATTATGAAAACCATACTAATTCAAAAGTAACATGTTCTCACAGTCAATTTTCGGTGGATCTGCACATATCCCAGCAAGCTATGGATTGATAAAACAAAACAAAAATTGTACAAACTAACCATAAATTTTTGTAACGAAACAGTAATAAATTACAGAGGCATTTAAATTAATCAAATTAACTATGATTACGCTATGAATTAAGACAGTAGAAGAAAGTTAGTATGGAATCGGGTTTTAGAAAAAAAATCAAAATGATCAGTTTTTTCGGCCGGATATATCTTTTAGTCACTTTCTTTCACTCTGAAAGCGTTAAACTGGTGAGGTTTTATATAAATGAGACAATGTATAGCGACTTGATTGAATCAGTTAAAGGGATTTGGTGGATAGTGATTTAGTTTGTAGGTCACTTTCGTTAAATATTGATTTCAGTTGGGCTGTAACAGAAAACCTAGGAGCGTTGCACAGCTGTTTTATTCTAGTATAGGATTCCTCAGTGATTTGCACCAACGAATTCCCCTAGGATCGAACTTAAAGCCTTCAAGCCTGATGGTTAACGCTAATGCATTAGAAGGAACAGATAAATGTCCACCGGTATATATCCAACTTTGGTCGATTCGAGATACATTGTGACGACGATACAATGAGGAAACACAAGTGAGCACTGCTAAAATGTCCCGTACTTGAACAAAATAATTATTCAAAGGTCCGATCGTATCTCAACTGGGATTATTCTTTGACGACTACAGTCTGTAAATTTAATGAATTGCTGAAGTCTTCCCCTTGTGGTTACATTCATATTTTCTGCGGTATTACATTACTATTTAATGCTTTAAAGATGGGGTTTCTTATCTATCGTATTAAATCATCAAACACAGTATTTCACTATTTGATCTCACTTCACACTACGATCTTACTTTAGTTAAACAACCATGGAAAAGCAAAAGGAACTAGGCAACTGGTTTATACTAGAATGAGAGCTCTCAGAAGTGATTTTCCACAACATACCAGCGACTGAGCTTATGATCTTTAGGTATCATAATGGGTGCTTAGCCATTAACCCGCTGAGCCTGTCTCTAATGGTTTATATTATTTTGCTTCAATCAATCTACGAGAATACGCAACCATCTCCCAATGTTATTGTTGGGCAACTGGCTTAAACTCAATATGATGAAACTGCATTCGATATTGCTTCTTACTAGAACTCCGTGATTTACTTCTCAAAATCAATCACTAATGAGAAAAATACTTTTATTAGTATGAAGCGTTTACGTAGATTTTCGAGTTTAATGGTCAACACCACATAATGACAGTCATCATTTCTGTAAACTCTTTACACTGACAATAGAAATTATTCATACTATCATATTTTTTAAGACAACTTACTGCACATAGTTCAGTTGCACTGTAAGCATATATCAAATCATAAGCATAATCCAGAAATTCAGTTAATATTCTTTTACACTAGAAAAAATATACAATCCAAGAAGAGAGTCGTCAGTTTTTAAGAAACAGAATATTATGGTCGTTAAGTGGAATAGTGTTTGTTTTATCAAAGAAAACTGACTATTTTCCTAATGTTATTATTGTAGTTATTAAGTGGAATATTGTAGAAATTTATGACAAGTATTGCTAAACAGAGTAAGCTTAAATTTTAAAAAATCTCTTTTTTTTGTTAAAAGTTACATGTAACTGTCACTGATGGATCTTATTAGAATTTAATACATAAAGTTAATTTTCATCACTAAATTAACTTCAGATGGTTGGAAGTTACCGAGTGTTGGACAGCTCCCGAAAAACTTTTGGTGTTAAATGGTGGATGCTTATTTCCAATGCACTAGGAGTTATAGTAGTGGTAACAGTAGAAAGCTAGAAGGGGATGTTCATTTTTTATATCATGGATTTCAATGACATCTAAGCTAATGTCCACTTCTTGATGGAAATTGTTGTCCAAGAAATGTATGTTGATCACATGAAACAGTGAGATATTACAACAAAAAACCATCAAATATTTATTCCATTTGTAAACGGAATTTAATTTGAACTATCATCACTTTTGATGGTATAGAATGTAATACTGCCCCCAAATGCCCTGGCATGGCCGAGGGTAAGGAGAGTCAGCTCTCCTTCTCGAATTACTCCCACATGGCCGCGCGCATACAGCCACTCCCACGAAAGTCCTATTCACCGCTTTCTCGTACCATTATTATTGTTTACGAAACTGAGAGGAGGAGAAACAACTATCCGGCGCATTAATCGAGTCGGTGGATATGGTGGATCCTGCTTCCAAACCAATGGTGCACAATGGCTATACGATCCTGAGTAAAAAAAATGGCGTATGAACCAATTATTGGTCACCGGCTACCATGGAACTGCATCTCCTGACGTTGTTCCACAGCCTTGTGGATCAAACCTTTAGGTCAAAGGTTTCGGGTGTGCCTCCCTAAGAAAACCACCTGCTTTGTTCTGGCACTCGGGCAGTATCATAGTCTACACACTAATCAAGTGACTTGTGTGGCACATATGTATTCGGTGCCACTCTGTACCAATATTTATATGTTCAAATAAATAAATGAATAAATAAAACGAACTCCGCCTGGAGTCCCTTCGGGGGCTACTGCCGGTCCAAAGACCGGATAAAGGAGGAGGGTTGGGCATGGGGTTAGCGTCCCCATCCCGTAGAAAACTAACTCGCTAAAAAAACGCTAACCAGAAGATAAATAAAACGATCATAGCTTATTCAAAACGTGTCTATGTTCACTAAGCACTTCTTTTTTTATTGATTTAATGGATGAATGTTTCGTAGTGAAGCACAATTTTCTTTTACCACATATATAGTTTTACATCCTGTATCTCAACATAGACCATAACAGACTGTTATGAATAACTTGGATCGTTTTAAGTAAAAAAGAAATATAATATTTCATTAGAAATAAATCATAATCTTGTATTTCTTACAGGTTGATAAATATTTTTTAAATTTGTACAAGTCACTTCAATATGATCATCTACAAATTGTTTACTACCAAAGACAAATGTTTTAGCCAACCATAATCCAGATTTACAACCGAAACATGCTGAAATAAAGAGAGGAGTGAGTATCAGGGGGAGAGAGAAAGTTCATGTAGATAATAGGATAAATAGATTATTATCAGAATGGGTTTTGTAGAGAGTTTTTAGAAATTTCAAAGGTTGAAATCATGAGTCGATTGAAGCTAGACCACCATGGAAAACCTGGAAGCACTGGACGGCCGTTTCGTCCTAGTATGGGACTCCTCAGCAGTGTGCATCCACGATCCCGCAACAGGTTTTCCATGGTGGTCTAGCTTCAATCGACTCATGATTTTAACCTGTGAAATAGATTATTGTTTTGATGGAAAATAAACTTACAAGGATTAGCTGGATTTTGATTTAAGATAAAATGATGATATATGCGTTTAAGTTGGTTGAATTTTATATTCTAAAACAAAAACAAAACAAAAATAGAAAAATACTTATGACTTGGTTTTACAATTAGGGTTGGATGAAGAGTGCTGGTGGGTGGCCTATGCTCCTTCAAGTGGGATAACAGACGTAAGTAAGTAAGTAAGTTGGTTTCACAATTAGAGACAATTTTGAGGGGAGTTATAAATACTGTTGTTATATTTATTACAGCTGGATTTCTACGGATTAGTTTTATTTTTCTCTAAAATAGTTAAGTTGATCATTTAATAGAACACAGAAATGAACTTAAGACATTGTACCATGAGTTTATTAATGTGTTTAATTTATACATTTATTTTGAATAACAATAAGCTTCATTATTTTCATCGTAAATGATTAATAGCAAATGTAAATAGTATTAAACTAATTTTGTATTTTGGTTGAGATCATGAATTAATTGCTGTTAGACCACCGTTGGAAACATGGAAGCACTGGACGGCCGTTTCGTCCTAGTACGGGACTCCTCAGCAGTGCGCATCCACGACCCCGCACCCCGCGGGATTCGAACCCAGGACCTACTGGCTTCGCGCCTGAGCACTTAGCCATCAGACCACTGAGCCGGCGTCCAATGGTGTCAGTGTCTAACATCAACCAATCCACGGAATTGCGCGACCACCTTCCATTGTACTGAGGTAGATACCTGTCTCTACCCGACACGGATTAGCTCCACTCGTCACGACTTCTCACCAGAACTCCGAGAATTCCCTCACGAAGCTAGTCACCAGTGAGCACATGTTAATTATCAGTATGGGGGTTGTGGAGATTGTTAAGTTTTTGGTTGAGATCATGGTCTAACATCAATTAATTCATGATCTCAACCAAAAACTTAACAATCTCCACAACCCCCATACTGATAATTTTGTATTGTTTGTTTGTATCTTCCCAAACAAACGATAGAAATTGAGTTTAAACTCCACCCCATTGCACAAACTAGGGGCGATTAGGACTCAGTAGCTAAGTGAATAACGTGATGGGATTTGAAGTTAACGGTATTGGATCCGAGTCACGGAGTGAACATCAACTCTAGGATGCAGGTACATCTAGTCGATGAGTCCCGAATAGGAAGAGACGTGCGTCCTGAATTCCACTGCTAGCCACTATCTATCTTTGCATGTAAAAAGTATTAGGTAGTTTTGCCTGAATATAATAAATCCATTCGTTGAACAGTATATATATATAAGGAAATGTAGGAGATTTGGTTCCAAATCCTGGTAAGCTGACACATGGATCACTTGTTACCCATGTTTAGATAACATTTTTACCAATAATCTATACTGATTATAAAAAGAAGGGTTTGAAAGAGCATGTAAGTAGTCGGAATAAAACTGAAACTCATTATGAAGTCATTGACTGACTAATAAATTTCTTTAGTCTATTTGGTCCAGATAACAGTTTAAACAGTTAAGAAACAGAAGCTAATGACATTAAACGATGTGATTTGAAATATATTCTGTTGTACAACAAGTCCTTTAATTTTTAATTATTCACTTCGTAGAACTATCATAAATAATACAGTTATGAACCGTTTATTTATTTTACCTTAACACAGTATTAACAAATGCAACTAAAGGACTAAGCATTTTAAATGAAAACATTGTCAGACAACGTCAGTTAATTGATGGTAAGAGGTTATTTTTAAATATGAGTAATAATAATAATATATGATAATAATAACTATCTAATCGATCACTCATTAAAAAAATAGCCAGCACATATATGAAATTGTACATCTCCTTATGTTGATCGGTAACTATGACATCACATCTAGTCTGTATGACCACTTTTCAACATATAAATACGGCTCAATGGTCTAGAGGTTAAGCGTTTGCGCGCCAGACCAACAGGTCTCGGGTTCGAATCTCCCGAGGTGGGATCATGGATGCGCACTTCTGAGGAGTCTCACAATAGGACGAAACGGCCATACAGTGCTTCCAGGTTTTTCATAGTGGTCTACCTTCAATTGACTCATAATCTCAACGATTGAAAATATAAATACGTGCCAATCAAAACTATGTTTAATCATATGTTTTGTATTATATTATTCATTACACAAAGAGTGTTAAACCCTTGTTTATGATTGTGTTATTGTTTGTAATTTTATACTTTTTACAACTTATAAAAAGATTTGAAATTAAATAATGAAATCATTTCATGCTTTAAATCTTGTTATTCTCATTTTATTCAAATATAAATATGGATAAGAAAGTTCTAATAATAAAGTATTACACTTACATTGAATTCACTTTCATAACTGTGATATTCCTTGATGGCTGATGAAGCTTCATTAAAATGGAAACCTCACAATATGAAATTATACTTACTTAGAACCTTAACTAATGATGATAGAATTAATAGTTGATAAATCATAATGATAATGGAAGTATTCAAGAATATATATATATATATATATATATATATATATATATATATATATATATATATAGAGAGAGAGAGAGAGAGAGAGAGAGAGAGAATTGGTGGTTTTGTAAAAACTGACCTTTGATGTATTTTTGTCTTAAATGAACAAAGGTAATTATATAAGAGGGTTATTTGATGGTTTCCTTCAGAGGATACATAGAGTTTTAATATGACTATTTTATATTGCGTGACTTGAAAAGAATTTTGGATGAATTAAATAGAGATTATATGTTCGATTTATAGTCTTTTGATAGTATTCACATTGTGGTGATTTAGTAAGGCATTAGCAAGATTTTTAGATGTTATGATAAGCATATTCATAATCTAATAGCAGGTTAAAATTAGTTATGGATTTACTCTACTTAGGAGTTTCATACTTGGTACTAGATACTTACCAAATGGGAAGTACAACATAAAGGTGAAAATGGGCACTTTGGGCGCGAAAACAAGAAATTCAAATTTCCAAAATAAAACATTAATCAAATGAGTTCTGAGGATCTAACATCCCCACTACATTATAATCTCAAATAACTAAGAATCACTATTGTAAAGACTATCTTGTCTTGATTAACTCATATAACGTTTTTTTGACTACTTCATATTAAAACTAACATTCAGTACATTGTAATCATGATAGAACGATACACAACTAAGCATTAGTTCAAATTGTCACACTGAACATCTATTTCAAATAACCATTGATTCAAAGAATAGTTATACCATCCAAATATATGTTAATGTATATCTATTTATAATGAATACTTTCATAATTAAAATAAAAAAGGATTTTACATTCATTTGATGTTGTTTACTTGTATTTTCCCATTGTTATTTAAATTGATTCAATGGGAAGATACAAGTAAAAAGCACCAAGTGAATTTAAAACTTCGCCCTATTGCACAAGCAAGTGGCTATTAGGACTCAGTAGCTAAGTGAGAATCTGAAGCGAATGATACTGGATTCGAGTCCTAGAGTGGACATCAATTCTAAGATGCAGGTACATTCACCTGACGTGTTCTAGATAGGACGAAACGTGCCTCCTGGATTCCACTACTAGCAACTATCAATCTTTTTTTAGAATGCCTGTGAATGAAGGTAATAGAGATGCAATACGCACAGTATGAACATATGCCGATAAGAAACTGACCAATTGCAGTCCTGAACATAAATGGGAAAATACAAGTAAACTGTACCAAGTTAATTTAATACTCCACCCTATTACATAAACAAGTGGCTATCAGGACTCAGTACCTAAGTGGGTAACGTGGTGGCGTTTGGAGCGAACGACACTGGATTCGAGTCCCAGAATGAATATCAATTCTAAGATGTAGATATACCCAATTGACAAATTCTAAATAAGACGAAACACACCTCCTGGATTCCGCTACTAGTTACTATCCCTCTTTGTTTATAAAATAAAAAAAATATATCGATTATTTTAAAATAACCTTAAATATAAAAAACTATTTGATATAAACATAAAATGATCACAAGTTTATTAATCACAATTCAAAGTTCAATTATCAACTCTTATTCCTTATAATAATAATAATAATTGTCTGTGATTATACTTTATAAAGTCCATTGGAATGGTCATTAAAATGACCATTGATTTATACAATACAATTACCATTATGTTTAGTCGACAATTTCAATTCATAATTACCTTATGTATGTAATACATCTACTTTATAAATGTTTCCTAATAGTAATCTATTTATCTTATATTAAAGGATTTACTATACATAATGAATATCTTCAAGTAAGTAACATCAATTGTAAATAGATTTAATAGAATAATAAATTAGTTAGTTATAATAGGGAGATTTCATCAAGAATTAACATTAATTGAAAGATTATTGAAAATTATAAATCAATAGAATATAGATCAGAAGGATTTTTGTGGATATTATAGTAATTTTAATAGTTGAGATCATGTGCGACTGGCTTCAAAAGGTATATCCTGGAGTTCTAGTAAGGAGCAGTGACCAATGGAGTTCAAACGGGTCTGTTGTGAGATAGTAACTCATTGAAGACAATAGTGGATGTGTCGGTCAATTTGGTGGATTAGTTGAAATTAGACATTAACACCATTGGATGCCGGTTCAGTGGTCAAATGGTTAAGTACTCACTTTCGGGACTGATATATCCTGGGTTCGAATCTCGCGGGGGGCGGGATCGTGAATGCGCACTTCTGAGGAGCCCCGTACTAGAACGAAACGGCCGTTCAGTGCTTCCAGGCTGTCCATGGTGGTCTGGCGTCAATTGACTCATGAGTTCAACTATTGAAAAAGAAAACCATCGAAAACTATCGTATTAAGAGCAACTGACGAGGCCTACAAAGGACGAAACTTTATCATGAATCCGATGTTAATAGTTCATTTTATACTTGGTAACATGTGAATAAAAACTTTGTTCGTTACTCATCCATTTTTTTTATCATTTTGTTTTTAGAATGAAAATTTATTGAACTGTGAGTTTATTTTTATTTTAAAAAAGGGTATTACTTAATTTGAAAATTCATGGTTTGATATCTTGGTGCAGGATTTTCATGCCTTGCTTAATCTATAAACAAAAATTCAAATAACTGCGATATTGTACATGTCAAATGGTTGACATATCATATTAATTACCAGTCTTTTAACCATAGCAATGTGAAGCAATTTAGGTAACCATTAGTCCCCTTATTATTATTACTTAAAGTAATAATTCATGAGAAATGGCTATTTATGTTCCATACTTTTCTTCTTGTCTTCTTAACTAATGTTTTTGGAGATCGTTTGTAAATATCATGTGTATTTCTTTTTTAAATCTTGATCACGTAGTAAGTGAATATATCGGCAGTTGCCTATTAAAAGCATTAGAAGTATATGAACAATTATAAACGTCAATAAAGAATCTACTTTAGTGTAACACAGATCATCGACGTACAGATTAATAGGAACAAATATTTGGAATCATTTTAAACATTTGACTAAAACAGCGGTCGAATGAACACTGATGGTCTAGTTAAAATCAGTCCTAATGTAAAATTCATTTTTTAACCATTTTTTTTAGACGGATCAGCTGATTCGATAGAAAGGCTGAAATTACTTAAGCAACCAAACTATACGTCTTTCTTTAGAAGACTTTATTCAAACTTTAACAAAATAGATATTGGGAAACACAACCAGTAACCACTTGTGTAAATATATAATTACTACATTAAGAAATTACAATTAGTGTTTATATCTAGTAGTGTTCAATTCAAATTGCTTTATTATCTCTTATAAGATAAGTAATCTATAATAAAAAGATGCAAAACGATCAGGATTTAATTAACTGTGTACATCGTAGCAATAGTTAACTAATCCTAAACTATAAAATATTACAACGGTTGAGATCATGAGTCACTTGAAGATAGACAACCATGGAAAACCTGGAAACACTGGACGGCCGTTTCGTCCAATTATGGAACTCCTCAACAGTGCGCATCCACGATCCCACCCCACGAGATTCAAATCCGGGACATATCGGTCTCGCGCGCGAGTTCTTATTTTCTAGACCATTGAGCTGGCTGGCATCCAACGGTGTTAATTTCTAATTTCAACTAATCCACCAAACTGAGCGACACATCCACGATTGTCTTCAGTGAGTTACTATCTCACAACAGACCCGGTTGAACTCCATTGGTCACTGCTTCTTAATAGAACTCCAGGATATACATTTTGAAGCCAGTCACGGAACGTCCATCCAGTGCTTCTAGATTTTCCGTGGTGGTCTAGCTTCAATTGACTCATGATCTCAACTATTGAAATTACTATAATATCCACAAAACCCCTTCTGATATTAAAAATATATTAGTCGCTAGAGAATATTATTAGATAATCCTTATTCAGTATATAATTCATATGAATACATTTAACAATGATAGTTTCTGTTTACATATTTATTATGTAAGTGGTACAATATATTGGGTATACTTCACAAGGGTAATAGTGTTGAATAGAAAACAATAAAATAACGGATTCAAATGTTACTCAGAATAAGTGAAATGGCATTTAGGACGCTGGTAATTCTTATGTTTATAAAATTCAGCATTATAGGGAAAGAGAAATATTTCTTTTATAGACAGACACATTCATAACAACACTATTTGTAAAATAGCATTCAATACAATCGAATGAAAAATATACCATTTCTATTTAAGCATAGTAAATAGTCTGCTCGATGCCCATAGAAACAAAGAGCACGAATACATTATTATTACACAAACTTCATGGTATCCCTTCAATTTTTGACCATGAAACTGTTCCATCTCCTTTCTCATCATTGGAAGTCCTTGAATAATCGGGTTTTTTGGTAGCTTTAACAGTCAATGCTTTTTTAAAAACAGTGTAAACAAAAGATAGTTTTGAATATGATACGGCATCAGTTATTTGGACATAAAGTCGCCGGTTGGTAAACACGGGACATTGCAAAAGTTTGATGTGTTCCAACATCAGTCGACGCTATAGTCTATACTGTGGTCTATTGGTCTGTTGGTTCAATGTAGTAGAGTTAATCTAAATGAAACTTATTCTCAAAAGCATTCAGTGAGTAATATAGTCTTATACCTTCGATAATATCCTCTTAATGATTAGCGATATTACTTATTTATAGTATGTGGTCGTTGCAATAGAACAATTGCTAAGGTAATAGATGATTTATCGGATTTGAATTTCCAATTGAAATGGGAAATGAAACTTGTCAATGGATGTAAATATACTGGCCCGCTTCGTGATAATGTAAGTTTTTGCTTTGAATCAATAATAATATCAGAAGGGGTTTTGTGGATATTACAGTAATTTTAATAGTTAAGATTATGAGTCAATTGGAGTTAGATCACCATGGATTCGAACCTAGAACCTATCAGTCTCAAGCGTGAGTGCTTGACCATTAGACCGCTGAGCCAGTATCCATTGGTGTTAATGTCTAATTTCAATTAATCCATCAGATTGAGCAACACATCCACTATTGTCTTCAGTGTGTTCAGTCAGTCAGTAACAACGTAGAACTTCGTACGTACGTACATCAGTTCGAGTTGCCACACAACCTTAGCACAGAGATGCAGTTGTCGTTTCGACTCCGTAGTGATAGAGGTAGCAAGAGTATAAGCAGTAATAGGGAAGATTAGGGTTTGGAGATGTTAGTTAAAGAGTATAATACAGTGAAATAAATTTGGAAAGAGGAAAAAAGGGACATGGAGAATTCAAAAGATTAGAATCTGGGAGAACACAAAGAGTGGATGCACCTGCGCCATTGCAAACGATTTTCAGCCATGTCATTCAGGGTCTCTAACCATCGGTTGCTATCACCTCGTGGTCCCCAACCAGGTAGTCTACACCTACCAACATGAATCAGTTCACTTGTCAGTGACTTCATGGACTTGTGCCATGTTTTGGTTTGGCCGCCTCTAGCTTTCTTCCAATCTACTCCTATACCACTGAACATCGCACGTCGAGGCAGTTGGTCGTTAGACATACGTAACACGTGTCCCAGCCATCTCAACTGATGAAGTTTCGCTACGTCATCAATTGATTTGCCATCTTTACCTAGTACCCGTTTCCTAACAACTGTGTTACTTATTTCAGTGTGTTACTATCTTATAACCCACTCGGTTGAACTCCATTGGTCATTGCTTCTCAATAGAACTCTAGGAAATACCTCTTGAAGTCAAATATTGAAATGAGGATTCATAAAGATTATTCATCTGTGCTATGTATGATCAAGTAGTGGTCTTAAACTAGAAAATAACTGATTTCAAATTCATAACTCATGAAATAATGCAGATATTTTATTACCCAAGTTAATGTTTCTCATGATATTGACTTTTCTAATCTCATTGTTCTAACGTTGTTCTAAACGGAAATAACATCAGCAACTAATTTCAGTAAAAAAAGTACCAATCAACCGTTAATTAAATTCTCTAGTTTAGAAACTCCAACAGCACGAAAAATGAACACAGCATACAATAAAATGTTGTTTTAAATAGTACTGATTTGTACAATTCAATTGAGCTACTACACAATTTGTGTGGTTTAAACTAGAAAAAATTAACTAAATTACTTAATAACATGACTTCAAAGTGATGAAATAATAATTTTCACAAACACAGAAATAAAAACACTGAATGACGGTTTCGTTCACATTCGATACTCTAAAGCAGTGCTCACCCTCGACTTCTTCATAGATGAGCCCTTGAACCTTTAGTCATCGTGGCAAAACTCTCAACCATTAGAACTACTCTGCTGGTGTTCAATGGCACATTTCTTATTCTGGTCAATTTACTATGAAATCGGACAATTATCTAATGCTATTTCATTGTATACATATCGAGAATATTTTAAGATAGTTACTATACATTGCTAATGACTTTTGTACTCAAACTATGCAGCTTTTCAATGCTTCATGGTTTTCATCAGTACCACCAATAAGATCAATATATCCCGAATACAACTTCTAAATTAAGTTCACAAAACTTCTTTAATTAAACAATTGTTATATGATTACTTTGTTACTTTACAGTGTGCATCATTATTCAGTTCAACAATGATTAAAATTATCAACAAATTTATAGTAAATATGAAACCTGATAAAGTTTGTAAGGTAAGCCGTATTTTGAATATTTACCACCAGAATATTTATTTCATAGTATGATGCTTTAAGAAGAAATATTGGCGAGACTATAATTTATGGGCAAACCAATCAGATTTAGGATATCAGGTCTTCGATTTTGGTGCGAAATTCACTCACCCATTGGTCAAAATAGCGTCGTGGCACTTTAGCTGATGTTAGTTCGTGATGAAAACCATAAATCTAATTCCTAACCCTTACCATTAACTGTAAAACATTGACTTTATTCTTCAAACTGTTTTATAACCTTCATTTAACCCTAATAAGTAGGTAGACACTTTCCAACTCACTCTGGTGTCGCTCAAAGGTCGTCCATTAATTATAGTCTCACCGAATATATATTTTACAAATTTGGGACCACTTAATAGTTACGAAAATCTTATCCTAAAGTATTGAGTCATATGCTCACTTTAAGCATATATGTATATACACATGCATCTACCTTAGGATATTTTTACATCATACTAATATGATAAATATGTAGTGTGGCGTCGAGTTGCGGTTGACTATGATCATCACTACAGTAAGACTATGTGCCAGTTAACCGATAAGATCCCTCGTAAGCTGAATATCAGAATCCTCTTTAGGATCCAATTTTTTTAGTTTATAATCAAAATTAATCCTTTTGATCTGTGTTCAGTCAATTGTACTTTTCTGAAATTGAAGGAAATATAGTTTAGTACAATACTGTTATTCATAGGTAAATATAACTTTAGTTACATAATGAATGCTATTAGAATGACTTCACTAAATTGTTGATCGAGAACTGGATCATTAGTCATAAATGAGTATGTAGAAAGCATTTTTCTACTTAGAACTAAAAGTTTGGTGTGAAATATTGTATCAAATACGGATTTATAACGTAAATTTGTTAGGACGGCTTCCGAGAACTACGACAGGGCCTCCATAAGCCCTAGAAGAGCCGACGAGTTTCATCCAATCAGAACTCAGTGGAGCTTTCTAAAATATCAACGTGGCATGCTACTATTGATCAGTAGCATAACATACCTCCTTGCGGATTGGTTGAATTATAATGTTGATTTAACAAACGCTAATATCTATAAATACCCATGATTTTCTGTACATTTTGATTCTAGTTCAACAAGCACTTTCTTCAGTGTTCTTCTTTCTTCTCATTTGCGACTTGGGAGGGTTCTAGCGTTCAGTGCTCAAGTCATACACGGTATATTCAGAATATATATAACAAAATTAACAAGGATATTTATTGTAGTAAATAGTTTTGCTCTCGTAAAGTTCTTTATATGATTATAGATACTGATTTACTTAAATGTGATCTATAGATAGAAAGGCATTAATACTTGGAACTACAGTGTGTATTACTTCCACTTTACCCCCTGTAAAATTAGGTAATGAACATAAATTAAGCCGAATTGAATTTTTTCCATCTCTTAGTTACATAATATAAATAAGATAGGAACACATACGTATAATTTGAAATATGTAATCAATAATGAACCCTTTTAGTGATTAACCTTATTTTAATTGATTACAGGGAATAAATTAATATTGAGTGCTAATATACTTTGCTGGTATAACAATTCGTGATAAAAAAAGTATCTTCACAGTGATTTAGATAATAAAGCAAAGGTTGTTTTAATAAATCAAGGGTTGAATCATTAATCTTTTATGAATTTATTGCAGGGATTGATATAATTCAGCGAGCAATTAAATTAACTTTGGAAAAGCGTCTGCTTTTCCTAGTTAGATTAAACCTTGACCATTTGTTCATCCCTAACAAAGTCATGGTTTTCATGGTCATGTATATGACACGATAAGTGCGTTTACTTTTAATGCTTCAATAAAAAAATATGATATTATAAACTGTTCATTATCTACTAGTGGAAAAGAAGTGACCTTATTCTGTTGAGTTCTTTAGTACAACCCAATCAATACTGTAGCCTTCATAACTCTTACCCAACCTCATGTGGTAACTAATAAGGCATATAGTTAGTAGGAAGCTTTAGTGTGAAAGGGTGAATGAATATTCACATTATATATATATATATATATATATATATATATATATATATATATATATATATATAGACCTGGACTAATTCTTAGAGAGACATGTCTTTAGTAACGTCGATTAGATTAATAAACCAACCACCCACTCACAGTAAGCTCCCTCAAGCTTACTTTGCTCACTTATTATATATCCTTGCAAAGGCATATAATCTGTGTGAACTTGTAACAGCATGTTATCCACCAGGAATAGCCTTGCATATTATTTTCATTTTTGAAAAATCTTCCTACACACATCAAATTTTGACGGTTAACTTGATGAAATGTTCGATATCATATTAGTACATATTGTCTAAAACATGAGAATCAGAAACCAAAGAACGTATCAGGAACGAAGTATATTCTCTTCAGGCTTCTTTTCAGCTTCTTTATGAACTAATGAGTTCGTCTCCAATGCCATTCATTTCAAGTTCCAGTACCTTTATAATTTTCTTTGAATAACATTTGTTACTATCGTCGATATCTGTTTCACTCTACATGTTACAGAACTTCACTAGTTATTGATTCTATCTAAAACTTTGGGCAGTACTATCTATCTTGACAGGGTTTTTGAGGGGGGGGGTAGATGCTTCTGCGAAGTCTCAAATTAAGATAAAATACCTGTTCAATATCCTGTAGTTTCTCTACCGTAAATCAATTCATGATATAAACATTCCTTCAAAAAAAAATTTAACTATTTTCATTAACCTCTTAGTATAATATCAAAAATTACATAAATACGTAGGTAATTTTTGATCATCATAAGCATTATCTACTTGAAATTTCTTTTCTCTTTTTAGTTTTGTAACCATCCAAATCTCTTGAACACATCTATATTTCATATTATTACTATTGATATTGCTATTACTATTATTGTAGAGCTTAGTGAGTGATTACTCGGAAAATTTGTATTTGTATTCAAATTATCAATTAGAACTTGATTCACATGTTGTTTACCGAATACTAAGCTTCATTATATGGATTCAACCTTAAACAGATATAATCCAGCTAGTACTTTTACTATTATTGTCGTTATTATTCGTAGTAGTAGTAATAGTAGTAATAGTATTAGTAATAATAATAATAATAATAATAATAGTAATAGTAGTAATAAGTAATCATTAATAAAATGTAGTTCTTTAAATATTTTCAGTTAATTTTAATTGACACATTGAAGTTATTAAAACAATAAGAAGGATGTATTTATTCAAGTGTACTTGATGATAAGAGATTTGATAATGATGATGATGTATTTTTAGTTATTTTTCACAAATATGTTCTGTCATAGAACGATGCCATATATAATTTCTTAGAGATCAATTCTATGTCACCATAGATTTTATTTATGATAGAGTTTTACTCTCTGAGTTGGATGGTTTAGTCGCAGAGCTTTCATCATTATTCTGAACGACATCATCAGGTAGAAGTAGAGTTCTACCTGAAGTTTGTACAGATGATGTCGTTCAGAATAACGATATAATCTCCACAATCAAACCATTCAGCTCAAAAAACAAAAAAAAACGTCATCAAAATTATCCATCTGAACTAAAAATCTTCTCCATCATCTCAAAATCATTGATTTTGTTTACTCATTTCAATGGATGGTTAAGTTCTGTCAATTGTATATTGTATCGATTCTGTACAGAGTATATCGACCTTTATTTAATTATATTTAAAAGGGTAAATGATATTATGAATCTTCAAACAGATTTATTAACCTCATACCTAATTCAAAAAGAGAGAAGAAAATTGTCAACAAAACAAACAAAATAAACAAACAATTCGATTTTGAATGGATTAACTTGAAACTACTTTGATATTGAATTAGTTTGAACGAATATCAATTGGTTATGAGTATAAAATTGCCCATTTTTTTTGTTGGTTGTCACAACAAGCCAAATTTGTTGATTGTTCTGTAACTTCTATTCAAAGAGGATTATCGTAACAAAAAAATGCATAGAACTAATGAAGGACTACCTTTCCTTAACTGAATGTTTATATGATCAAAGTAAAGTGTTATATCCCGATGAGATTAAAGAATGATAACTGTTGAGATCTATTTATGGACTAATACTATGCGTATACTTTTATTGTATAATCATTAAGTAGCTAAACTATGTATATTTATGTTCCTCATGTTTTAAGCTTTATTTCAACTCATAGATTATTATTATACGATTTACCAATCTTGAGTTATGCCCTATCTATTAATTACAGTCCCCCACATTCACAGCCACTTTCGCCTTGATATTGTACAAATGTTACTTTCTATTTTATGTTATGATGTGCTTTGGTTAGTTTTTATCTAAACGCAGTATACTTGAAATACATGATTTGCATCACAGAGGATGAGATTGGTGTTTTGGACTTAACAGGCAGGACTAGACAGGAAGTGTGAAAAATAAAGTCTCTAGACTGCTCGTATGAGTTTTGTGTGCCATTAGTCCATTCGATGAATTACCGTTCGCTAATTGTCGGCATCATGATGTTATACATTAATAAGACACAAGGCACAAGTTATAACACAAAGATTAAATTATTTGTAAAGACTGCAGCTTTTGTTACCTTAATTGGTTCACACATTCTGTGTTTTTTTCAAATTACTTCTTAATGTTGAATGAATACTATCAGATAATCGATCTCACTGTTTCATGACCCTAAAGCTTTAGAATATACGATCTTGAAGATAATTAAGCAGATCTTTGAGGTGTAAACTTACTCAAATCAAATCTACATTATTTTAAAGGTTTGAATAAATCATTTCTTATGACACAATATATTATATCTAAATAACGTAAAGAAATTTATGAACACGATAGACATTTGAATTTGGAATGCTTTTCAACAACAATTGGTACGCAGAGAACATCTACCTTCTTCCAAATATCTGCGAAGAAAGTCTTGTGACACAACTCATAAAGATCTTAATTAAAAAGTGAGATCATGAAAGTTTTTCGATAAAAAAGATACCTTCATAAATAGACAGCAGAAACTTGATATGATTTAGAAAGGTCTCTTGTAATGTTAACGACATCATGAATAAATGATCAAATAAAACAATTGATTGATCACTGGGTGGTGATCAATGTCATGTGTGTCAAGCCCTTATTTAGCGCAGATCGAATGTTATCGACCATGTTGCAATGTGGCCACCAGTCTAGGTGGCTCGACATTGCGGACACTATATACTGAGATTAGATGGTGGTTGGAGGTAGTCGACAGGAAACCCTGTTTAGACCAGGGTTTCATGCTACTTGGCACTCGTCAGCAAGGTGTACCTGTAATCTTGAGGGAACTGGTGCTTCCTGGAGGATCCGATCCCGTGTCACCCAGCTTCACAGTCAGAGACGTTACCACTGAGCACATGTCGTCTTTAAGAGGACATCACCATGTTTTCAAGTTACAATAACAGAAATGGTTTAGATAAAGTTCAAACAAATCTGAACAGGACAGTTTCTTACATGTAGTTAGTTTGTTCATCTCATATGAAACATTATTCTGTTAGAAAGTTTTGTTTCCAGTCTTTGTTAACATCTGTAGGTCTTAATTTGTGGGATAACGATCAAAATGGAAAACAAACTTGACACATAAATTTGTAAATATATTTCTAATAGTAAATCTAATTGCTTTGAAATGGTGAATTGGTAACTTATTAGGAACGTTTACGGCACCTCACGCAAAAATTTCACGTTCCTGATGAATTTTGAACCCAATAATTTATTATTATTTTTTAATTTACTAAACAAGGCTTAAAGTTTACTGTTGGATATAGATTAAGTTATACAATACAAATTTACGTTAGATATTGTTTTTTTTGTTCTAATTTCAGAATATATTTTTATGTTCCATATAAGTTTCGTCATGGTATGACCAATTGAATCGGTTCTGTATTTATCGACAACCTTTGACCATTTGGATTTTCCTTTCAACAAAATTTACTACTGAAATATATATAAAGTAGCATAAAATTATGTGACTAAAATATGTGATGCGTCTCAATAAAAATGTATTTGAATATAAAAATTATTTTTAATCATTAGAAAGGGGGTGGAAAGTGGGATATACACTATTTAATATGAATATCGATGGCACTAAATATTGTGAATTAAAAGCTAATTCGAAAAAAATAGTGTGATGCAATGTATAAGTTATTGAGCTCTGTCTTGTTCTATCGACAGATTTATTAATCGTACAGTCATAAACAGTTCACAATCATACACGCATTTATGCTTCTACATCAGCATTTAGTTTCTATATCACCTGAGCTTCATCAATTGAAGTCGAAGATTACTTCTAAAAATGAATTAATAATTGGAATTCACATACTTTTAGAAAGTTTTCGGTACTGTGATAATTTCATGCAATTAGTTCCCTTTATGAATTTAAATAAAGCCTAGACGAACATTGATGTAGAATAACATGAATTCATTGTATTTGTTGGTTTCTCATCAGCTGCTTATAACCATATATGTATTAGAATTTTTCATTGAGTTAAGATATATTATGGAACAATTGACATAAGTGATAATTCACCAAATCCAGAAATGGAAAATCTTCCGATAGCATTCATAATCTCATATCGTGTCTCTTCACTGCTAGTTTGTGTCTCTGTATATGCATACATAGTTTGAATAAGATTTTTTTCAACTCAGTGTTTCTCTTAGTTGATTCATTTTAATACGTAAATAATGTTTACTTTGCCTTTCACCGCTGTTCAGTCTTCTGGTTAGTGTGAAACTACTAGTTTGCACACAATACTGATTCAGATAGGTTTTGAAATGTCTTTCACGGAGAACTATTCAGTGTTGAGTTTATAGATTTGATCTTTAAATCGGGACGTCAATTTCTTAAATATCTTTTGATGAAGTTTTGGAGAACTTATTATTATGGATAGTAAACAAAAATCACTTGCTTCCGTATTTTGCCCGATAAGACGACTTCAAAGAGTTCTGTATGTTGTTTGTTAACTACTATTGTAAATAATTATTTGACCGATGTTACTCTATTTCTAATATTCTGTTAAACTTGATGTTCTGCTGGGTATAGTATCCAAGATTATACCCCCTTGTTCTGTATTTGTAAACTCGCTACTGTAAAAAATGTTTTCCATCATGTGAATGGTATTTTAAAATATCCTACATTTTCAAGTACTCATTCTTTGTTTATACATAATTAAATTAAATGAAGATCTTGTTGAAATAATGTCAAACCATGTTTCATTGGTTATTTATTTATTTATTTTAACACATAGATATTGGTACAAGGAGGCACCAAATACATATGCCCCACACAAATCTCATTCGATATGTGTGAGGGCTGTGATACTGCCCGGATGCCCGGACCGGTGCAGGTGGTTTTCTTAGGGGGCCACACTCGAAGCCTTTGACCTAAAGGTCTGATCCACAAGGCAGTGGAGTATCGTAGAGAGATGCAGTCTCATGGTAGCCGGTGACCAACAATTGGTTCATAAGCCATTTGTTCCTTCGGGTTACCGGAGCCCATGTGCATCATTAGTTTGGAATCAGGGTTTCCCAACTCCCCTAGGTGGACTTTCCATATCCACCAGCCCGGTTAAAGCTCCGGACATTCGCTTTCCTTCCTCTCAATTTGGTAAACAACAGTAATACCATGAGAAGGCAGTGAGTAGAACTTCCCTGGTAGAGGCTATATACGCGTGGCCATGTGAGAGGATTTGGAGAGGGAGAGCGGACTCTCCCCATCCTCGGCCGTAACAGGGCAGTTTGGGGCTATAGTTGTTGATTCCCGGTAGGGTTAGTCACTTGAAAGACAGAATGAAAAATCTACCAATTACTTCTAACATGTATATATCAACGTAAACAGATGCAAATATTAAAATTTCAGTTACAATTTGGGTACATTTACATCCGTCTGATGTTAAGAGACATACTGAATGTGTTTTCGATATTACTGCATTTATTGTTACGTCATTGATAAACAAATAATGGTGGCCTAGCTAATATCAATTAGTGATTTAAACAATGTTAATTCAATAATCTCTACAAATACCACTATATCAATATTTAAGTGAGGCTTAAATTGTGACTAGCTAGTTGTAAGTAGTAATTTACTTCCAAAGATAGTCTTATTTTCTAGGTTGGTTACAAAAGAATATGAATGATAATCCAGTTAAATCTTTGATTTTAAATATCCAGGACCTTTAATTTATCCTTGAAAATCCATAAACTTAGGTCTTTGTATTTTATTCTTCCTATATTATCAATTTTAAGTCTGAATATTGATAGTTCTTACTTAACTCAGTCCTATCTGTCACCACGTTTGAATTTTAGGCAACATTCCAAAATCCATCAATTCAAGTTTGATTAACTCATCAACAAAGTAGACTTTTATAGTTTAAAAATTTTCCGTTGTTCGTACCCATGGTCAAACTCGAAATTGTAGGGTATTACGATAAATACATTACATTTATACCTACTTTTTGGAAACCGCTGGTTCAGTTAATCTGTGATATGATCATCCATTTTTGGTAAATTTGTTGGAACCCGGATTTAGAGAGTGCTATGCTAACCTGGAGTCCTGAAAAGAAACGAAAAAGAGGAAGGCCGAAGAACAAACTAAGTCGTGAATTGGAAGCTGACATCAAAAGAATGAATAGCAACTGGAAGGGTTTGGTCAGGACAGGGTTGGATGGAGAGTGCTGGTGGGTGGCCTATGCTCCTTGATAAGGGGTAACCTTAAAAGTAAACACTTTAATGATTTCTTTTTAATAGGGTAGTTTATGAACTCTGTGTTTTATATGACAAATCATTAAAAAATCTGACACAGCAAGTCTGACAATCAAAGTTATTTGCAACACATACGTTAATCTGTTTAATATTCTTGAAAATAACTTTGTTTATAACAGACATGGTCTTTTGAAGAAAACAGACTTTTATCCCTTCACTAATAGACGTCTTATCATTACAAATTTTAGGCTTGCGAACAATGATCAATAACAATGTTTTTACTGCTATCATTAGAGATGCTGATCTTAATCTCACACAGTACGTTACTTCTCTCAATGATTCGGGGATATCCCATTTAAGGGATGAAAATAACCAAATATATTTTGTCATGAGTATATTGTCGATTGTTTTCGGTACTCAAATATTTTACAATCTCGACCCTATCATTTAACCACCCTAAGCTTGATATACACAATATACTTGATTGATATTGATTGATCAGTACTAACAAATAAAGGGAATGATAAGCGTTTGAGCTCTCCCTTTGTTGATACTCAGAATTAGCTTTTGATCAGTCTTTGTTAGCAGATGTGTATTCTATAAAGGATTACGTTTAAATAAACATTTTATCATAGGCTAATAATCTATCGTTTAAAATAGGAACTATTGATGTTTCACTCAATGGTATCAACTAAGTTTTAGAGTGAAAACAATTAATTCAGCTACAGTGTTTGAAATGACTTCGGGAGTATATTTGTTGATGATGATTTAATTTGGACGAAAGCATGGATTACTCTAGTTTTCAGGTTATAAGCTTCTGGATTACATTCAGAACTGCATACCCAAGTAAAACTGTGATACTCAGTTATCAACTATGGATCAAATCAGTTTTTGAGCATTTTACCGTACTGACAAATAAATAGGAAGCGTGAGACTGTAATTTATGGACGACATTCAAGAGGTGCTAAATTGACCTTGACAGTGTCCACCTAATAACTAGGATAAAATGAAGGTTATAAACCGGTGTGAGGAATTTGAATTATGATTTTGTGGTGTTTGAATGAACTAATGATTCCTTTGTACTTGTTGAATGCTTGATTTCGAATTCCAAATACAGTACATTCGTTCGTGCTTATCTAGTACTTCTTGATCCGATTACGTTATTTCTGGGACTCTTACTTACTTACGCCTGTTACTCCCAATGGAGCATAGGCCGCTGACCAGCATTCTCCAACCCACTCTGTCCTGGGCCTTGTTTTCTAGTTCCATCCAATTCTTGTTCATTTTTCTCATGTCTATCTCCATTTCTCGGAGTAATGTGTTCTTTGGTCTTCCTCTCCTCCTTTGGCTCTTAGTTCATACTATAATTCAAATACTCCTAATTATTACAGATTTACAGTTGATGGTTAGGGTAAGGAATTAGATTTAGGGTTTTCGTCACGAAGTGACATCAGCTATAATGCCAAAACTCTATTCAACCAAATGGTTGGGTGAATTTCGCGTCATAATCCGAGACCTGTTATCTTATACCTGATTAGTTTGTCCATAACTTATAGTCTCGTCACAGGTAGTTATCGAATTGTAAACCGGAGCTGAATCATTTGAAATCTGTAACTGGCTCATTGCATTTGTGCTTTTTACGTATAAACTAGGTACAACAAATGTCATGCATTTTAATCTTTAAGATACCATTTCATTAATCTGGTGGTTCAAATCCTGTGACAACCGGTACTTTCTTTTAACTTCATCTTTCATTAGTAAATACAATATTTACTAATTTAATCAAATGGATGTAAAATTACCTAATTTAAACTTTCAGAGGATTCAAGTAAATCAATCTAGCTACCATATTCATTCTGCGAACAATCGATTGAATATATGAAAATGAAGAGTAGACTAAAAATAATCTAATTGATTTACAAACTAGAACTGAGATTAATCTTACTAGTAATCATATACGTACTAATAACGTAATCCAAGATGTTTTTCTAAAGTTTTGATGAGAAGTCTTAACACGTAATGTTAAACTATACCATAAATGTGACAGAAATTACCGAAGACTTTGGATATCAACGGCTGAATGTTATACATTGAAAGATGTAGTAAATGTAAATCTTTGGGCTCATATTTGTTGTTTTTCTAAAGTTATCAAGCCGGCAGCTATATAAAATGTTGATTGGTATATACGTCTAGGAAGTAATATGAAACTAGCATCAAACAGCTATCCAATATAACTCCTTAAAATGATTCACCGACTTCTGTGAACCTTTGTTGTAGTTCACTGTTCATGTTAATAAACTGATAAGAGACATATCTCTATATGCAAAATCCCAATTAATAAACTGAAAATTGAAATAAAAACGGATCCAAATAACAAAAGTGCTCATATATTTGGAAATTAACGTGTGGATTCTTACTATATTTATACATTACAGGAATTCTCAGTTAGTGATTTTAAGTGAATAGAAATCGTAGGTTTAATGGAGAGTTTGGACTATATTAATAATGTCGTATGAATACTACATTGTTGTATGAATGCAAAGTTGAAAAGCTTGAAGGGTAACAAATACAAAACTATTATATAAATACATCTTAATATTAATGCCAATAAACCTGCACAGCTGATTGATCGCTGAGTAGTTATCAGATAGAGGTTTGTCTAGTTCATTAGTCTTGATGGAATTCTGTCAACCACCTTTCCATATAAGCACTAGATTAGGTAATTCATTATCGCATCCACCACTCTAAGATGTCAGGTAGCTGGAGGTAGTAGTGTAGTGGACGCTAATCACATAATTCCTTGTCAGTAGTATGTTGCAGAACGTGACTTCGAAGTTATCACAGTCGTCAAACCGAGTGAAGAGTTTTAGTACGTCGAAAGCACGGTATACGCAAAATGCTTGATGACCAGACGAAAAGGCAGTTCAGATTGCAGGACACATCACGAGATGCAAACTGATGATCGAAGGCTATACATATATATATATATATATATATATATATATATATATATATATATATATATATATATATATAATGTAAATCCTGTATAATTCCTTTAAGTCATTAGTTAGTAATCAAACATCTGTACATGACTCAATGCTACAGAAAGCCATCAACCGTTCGAATAGCTCAGTTTTAAAGTCTGAGACTGTAAAGACGGGTCGTGAGTGTTGAAATTTTAAAGGTCGTTTCGTTTCTCTTAGCGTTGTAAGTACTCGTTGCTTACTGGTTCCAACTAGCAAGAAACCTAGATATTATATTTCTTATCGACTACCTTTCATCAACTGACATAATAAATCTGTTTTTGACTAACTGAATTTTTACTGATTTTTATTCTTAATGATTATAAGAATGGGGATTTGTGGAGATTGTAGTAATTTTAACGGTTGAATTCATATGTTGATCTAAGCCAGATCAATATTGAAAACCTGTAAGCACTGGACAGCTGCTTCGTCCTAGTATGGGACTCTTCGTTCTCCATTCTGATAATAATTATGTGCTCACCATTGATTTCCTAAAGTTCTCGTGAGAAGCCGTAAACAGTGGAGTCCAGTCCGTGTCGAGTGGAGACAGTTATCTACCTCAGACAATGGATGTAATGTTTCGCAAGATCATGGATCTATTGAAGTTAGATATAAAAAGCGTTGGATACCGGTTCAGTGATCTACAGGTTAGGCATTCGCGCACGAGACGGAACGTCCTGAATTCGAGTCCGCCGTGTGATATCATGGATGCTCACTGTTGAGGAGTCCCGTACTAGGACAAAACTACCATGTTGTTCTACCAGGTTTTCAATGGTTGTCTAGCTTAAATCGACTCATGAATTCAACAACACAATTTGACACCTAATCACTCTGGATAATAAGTCAATATTACCAGGGTAGGTTTAAGATGAGAATAAACTGCTTTTGATTACACAAAGGGGGTTTGAATTTTCGTATGGCTAAGGCTTCAATAAACTTTAGTATACACCATTTACACTTTTAAACAACACCACAAAAGCCGAGTTAAGATCAATCTTATGGCCTGTTTCGATTATATGTTTCGCAATAGAGGATGATGGATATTTATCCTCTACTCTTATTGGGTCACTTGATTGTATTTGTTTCTGCAATCATTTTGGTACATGTTCACACACCCTAATTTTGAGATCACGATTACTCATCCTTGTCTCCTCTTAACCCATTCCCAGGCCGGTTGTTCGAAATGTAATGCTATATTTTATCATATAGTTCTGATAATCTTCGTCTTCTTATTACATTATCGAAATTTATCAAAGGGACTAATTGCCTTAAATAATGTTCTTTAAAACCAATGAAACAGATAAACCAGACGTTTATTCATTGATCTACTCGTTAAATTTGTGTTTATGTGCATGTGTGTGTGTGTGCATGTGTACGTTTCATTTAGGCAAGTATTTTTTAACTTCTATTTGGTATTAGCAACTATTAGGAATCTTAAGTAAAAATTTAAAAAAAGAGAATTAATGTTTTCTTTATACATTTGAGTAAACTTAAACTACAATCATGTCTATAGTAAATGATTGATTGAATTAAATACAACGTTACATAAATAGTACAGTCTACATTTTGTATTTACATTTTTTGATATAGAGAATAAGAGTTAGAGAGAGGGAGAGGGGGAGATGGAGAGAGGGAGAGCGAGAGAAACAAGAAAGAAAGAAAGAAAGAAAACAACAACTCACTATTTAAATTCTGTTTCTATAGGTTTATATATCTACTGTTTATTCATATTTGGCATGTGTGGTAAATACATAAATGTATGTTATAAATAAACTAATAGTTTAAATGTTTACAATTTAATAGATTTTTTTCTATTCATGATTATGATACCATACCTTAACAACAACCACAACAATAATAATATTATTATTATTATTACTATTCTATTACAATGTATTGGTTTAATATTTGGTTGGTATTATACATTTCCTTTCATTTCCTTATGAATTCAGTTAAAACAGAAACTATTCATGGTAGTTATGAAATGATTGTTCGGGTAAGTTAAGTAAAAATGAGGTCTACTGATCATTCTTTTTTTCCCTACTTTTTTTTCGTATATTTATTTCAATCTACTATTTAGATAGATCAGAATGACTGATTGTATATTTTCATAATCAAATTATTTGATGATAAGATAATAGGTCTAGTAGGTATCATCTTATTTGGGGTTTGTCAAATAGATATATTTATATTGTATAACTGATATTCATTCCGAAATTTGAAACCAGTATTGATCACTTTAAAGTTAGATGTGTTATGCAATCACTTGATGAGTTGTCAAAAACGTACAGGTTATTCATGGAGTATAATATTGATGATTAAGACTCAATAGCTAAGTGGAAAAACGCGATGATGTTTGAAGTGAACGGTATTGAGTTCGAGTCCCAAAGTGAACATCAACTCTGTGATGCAGGTACATTTAGCTGACGAGTCACAAATAGGACAAAACGCTCACTCTGGATTCTATTACTAGTCACTGTCCGTCTTTGATTAAAAAGCTTGTGACTTAAGACTATATCGAGGCAATCCGCACAGGATGTACAGATGCCAACACGAGACTGATCAATTGCAATCCTAAATAACAATCGGAAGATACAAGCAGATTTAAGTAAATTCCTGATATACAGACGAATGTATTTACAAAGCAGTAAACGTGAAACCAAAAAATTCTTTTTTGATGACCTTTAAATAAAGAACACTTCTTAGGTATCACTTAAAGTTAGATCATAAATGTCAGTGACAAAGTTTCTTAGTTATTTGTCAGAGATGATATTCTTTTCTTCAGCTTTGTTATTCTACAGTTTCCCAGTTGTATTTATATAATACTGTCATATCCCGACGAGAATGGTAGCTATTGGGATCCATTTATGTACTAATACTATACGTATACTTTTATTGTATAACTGTTAAGTAACTAAACTATTCATATTCGTGTTGCTCTTATTATAAGCTTTATTTTGATCTATGAGCTATCATTGTACGATTTACCAATCTTGAGTTATATCCAGTCTATCAATTACTATCTCCCACATTCACAGCCACTTTTGTCTTGATATTGTACAAATGTTACTTTCTATTTTATGTTATGATGTGCTTTGGTTAGTTTGTATCTAAACCCAGTATACTTGAAATACATGATTTGCATCACAGAGGATGAGATTGGTGTTTTGGACTTGATAGGTAGGGCTAGACGGGAAGCAAAACCAATAAAGTCTCTAGACTGCTCATATGAGTTTTGTGCGTCATTGATCCGGTCGATGAATTACCGTTCTCTAATTGTCGGTATCATTATGTTATATATTAATAAGAGATAAGGACATAAGTTATAACAAATACTATTTCTCAACAAGTATAGTTACGCTACTTTACATAATTACGACATTACATTTTCACTGAATTATATTAGTTACTATAATCCAATAGTCATTGAGGAATTTTGTTCTAATGCATTGTAGTCTTTAACAGCTACTGACCAATTCACCAGTTGTATGTAGCTGAAAAAAAAGTTGATTTGTTCAGTTTTCAGTTTTCTGAAAAAAGAACCTTATTGCCTAGAATTAGATGAAGGAAAGAAATCTGAAACTTTTCAATCATTTGTTGAAAAAAAGTGGTCTCATCACTGGAATGTTCATGATTTCTGTTAAATTATAACTTATAGTCACTTATTCATTGTAATCATACAGAGTACTGTTGAATGAGATTATATAATGAAAGCGGAGAAGATTTGTAGCTCAGCTGGATGATTTTGATGGAGTTTTATTCTCTGAACTGGATCGTTCTGCTGAATGACATCATCAGCACAAACTTCAGGTAGAAGTTCATGCCGTTCAGAAGAACGAAGAAAGCCCCACGATCAAACCATTCAGCTCAGAGAACAAAACTCCGTCAAAATAACATACCATCTTAGGTTTAATGATAATACGTGGTTCTGTTACAACTGAATCATATATCATATACCTAAATGAATTAATTTATGACTAACATACTCAATAACAGTTTTACATAGTATTTCCATATTATACCTACAAAATCTCTAGGGTAAAAAAAGAAATATGATACCAAAATCAAAAGCCTAATTGATTCTAATCGTAAACAACTGTTTCGATGTTTACTTTAGCTAATCATTATATTTTCAGCAGTAATCGATGCTGTTTGCTTCCATAATAGCAAGGAAAAAAAGATGTATAGCACATATATTCAAATGCATTCAGTTACTATAATTATGATTCATCAGAAGCCTGTAATAATTTACAAATAATCAATTGTATATTTTGATAGATTCAAAAAGACTAAAACACAATTTATCGGTGTATTTGTCATTGAGTTAATTATAGGATCTAGTGGATGGTACAGTGTTTCTTCGATTGTAAACGTTTCAAAAGTAGGCTCATTAGTTACAAAAATTAATACTTTTGATGGGTAACTGTATATATTCAACAGGAAGCCCCAGATCTAGGTTTTGTGCTAGTTGGAATTCATCAATACAATGTACTTGCAATCTTTAAAGAACTGATGTTCCCAAATTAGATTGGGTGATGAAAAATTGAATCAAACAACCAATAACAATTCCATGAAAATTCAAGGTACGTCTTTCTGGCAAGGAGGAATTAACACCAAGGTTACTAATGTGCAGATGGTGAAACACTAATCATAAAATAGTTATGAAGTAGTGACCCGATTGTTTAAACAGTCGACTCTTAATTGTGATAAGTGAAAATCTTTGTCTGTATTTACAAATTGAGAATTGCATTTGAATGATACACAGTTTATTACTTAATATATTATATTATCAGAATTAGACAATGACTCGTTTTGTATGCGAACTAAATTAGTTCAACTCATTCACCTTAAATCGAATTCACTATTCTATTTAATAGTAATTAAATATAGATGTATATTGAAATAAAAGTATTGTCCAGTTAAGACTTCAAATCAAGTCTTTGAATCAATTCAATGTACTATATCTTTGGTCCAGATGGATTGGCTCCAGAGGTCTTTAAGGATGGTGGTCCAATTTTAGCGATTAGGTTGACTAATATTTTAGATAAGATCTGGGAGTCAGACTTTATCCCATCTAACTGGTCACAATCACTTATCGTCCCAATATATAAGAAAGGGTCAAAATCATCTTGTGACAACCACAGAGGGATTAGTTTAACTAATATAATATCTAAAATACTAGCCTCGATAATTATCAGACGCCTAACTAAGACTCGTGAACTGCAAACACGAGAGAACCAAGCTGGCTTCAGACCTGGTCGTGGCTGCATCGACCACATATTCACCATTCGTCAGATTCTAGAACACAGGCATACTTATCGGCGTCCGACAATGGTGGTCTTTCTCGACTTAAAAGCAGCATTTGACTTTGTAGACCGTGAGATTCTGTGGCAGTGTCTGTCATTGAAAGGCGTACCCCAGAAGTACATAAACCTTATAAAGGCTCTTTACTCGAACACTACTAGTCGAGTCAGAGCTTATGGCGAACTGTCATCTACTTTTGCAACCTCAAATGGTGTCCGTCAAGGCTGTCCACTTTCTCCATTTTTGTTTCACTTCATCATAGACCTACTGATGGAAATAACTTTCTCGTCGACTGAATTCTCGGGTATTGATCTCCATCCAGGAGGTCCACTTATCGACTTAGAATACGCAGAAGACATAGTCCTATTTGGTGAAGACGCTGATAAAATGCAGTCTTTTGATAGCACTAAGCAACAGTGCCAGAATGTTTGGAATGCGCTTCTCTCCCTCTAAATGCAAGTTGTTGCTTCAGGACTGGTCTGCGTTAACACCTGAACTAAGGATAGGGAGTGAAGTAGTCGGACGCGTTGACAACTTCACTTATCTTGGAAGTCTGATCAGCCCTAATGGGTTGGTGTCTGACGAAATCTCAGCACGGATTCGAAAAGCTCGTTTGGCTTTTGCCAACTTACGTCACCTGTGGCGAAGGCGAGATATCCGTCTATCAATAAAAAGACGAGTATACTGCACCGCAGTCGGTTCTGTTTTAATTTACGGCAGCGAAACATGGCCATTAAAAGTAGAAGACACTCGTAAGCTATTAGTATTTGACCACAGATGCCTTAGAAATATTGCTGGCGTCTGCTGGGATCACCGGGTAAGTAATAGTGAGGTTAGACGTAGGGTATTAGGGAATGATGGTAAATCAGTTGATGAGGTTATGAATCTTCATCGACTGAGATGGTTGGGCCACGTGTTACGTATGCCTGAACACCGATTACCACGACGTGCAATGCTATCCGGTATTGGAAATGGTTGGAAGAAAGTTAGGGGCGGCCAAACCAAAACGTGGCATCAGTGCTTGAAGTCACTAACTTGTAGTCTGAGCCATGTTGGTAGATGCAGACTACTTGGTTGGGGTCCGCGTGACTATCGTAACCAATGGTTGGAGACTCTTGGTGACATGGCTCAGAATCGGTCACAATGGCGTCGGTGTATACACTCCCTGTCTTCCCTTAAACTAAGAGATTAAAATCGCTTCATATCTTTCTTTCTACGAACCAATTCTTTCTTCTTGTACTATATCTCTATATGCAATCTTTCTCTTATATATTACCACCTTTGACCTAACCACTGCTATGAATCCGGTGTTCATCTTGTTGTGCTGATGCGGTATGGCAACCTGGACCGATGCCCATATGTGCCTGGTCCTACGTTGTAGCTGACTGACTGACTGACTATATCTTTGAAGTTCTTCCAGAGATTATTATTTCTTCAAGTAACGTAAATTATGTTGAACATCCGTTTATTTAAATAGTTTTTTTAAGGAATTTGATTTTTTTTTTAAAAGCCGGTAATTATACACCTATTGAATACATGAAAGAATTAAAGTAGTATTTTATTTTAATCTAAAGATGTTTCTACGACAGTTTTCTAATCTAATATAAAACAGATGGGTTTTACGAATATTATAGTAATTTCAATGGTTAAGATCATTTAAGGGTAGCCTATTGATCTTAAAATGAAGTTTTTAATTTTAGTTGAGAATTGAGATCAAAGTTTATATTCTTAAAGAATTATAGGTTTAATCTTCAGTTTTTATTTGGACCATTAGTCAACTTAATCTAAATCATTCTATAATAAAGGTAGTAAATTTTAAAATATAAGCCAACCAGTAGATATTCTCCTGAAGTTCATTGTATTCAATACGGTTATCTTAAAATATCTGTTATTTTCTTAGCTATACGATTATCATGAAATATGATTGTCAATTTAGACACGCTGATTTATATGACTAGACTAATGATGCATACATCAGTGTGGACAACCTAGAGTCCCGACTAGTCCTATTTTCCGCTTAACCCTGCCTGTTGAGTCCAGAACGTTAATCTCAGCCTCCTTGATACCAAGCATATATTTTAAACATACTTGATTTATGTACAAACAAATCAGACTACATCACACTATAAAATGGAAAATGACATTTATACAATATCAAGGCAAAATTGGCTATGATTGTGAGGGACTGTTACTAATAAATTGGAAATATCTCAAGAATAAAAAATCGTATGATAATAGTCATTAGGTCAAATAAAAGCTTATAATGAAAAGAATATGACCATTCATAGAATATAATCACTTAATAGTCATACAATAAGAATATAACGTATAATATTAGTTCATACATAATTCCTAACGGATACCATTTATTTATTCTCGTCCGGATATAACAATATCAATCCTGGCTTTTAGTATAGTATGAAATGTTTTAACATTAAAATATTGATATGCTTGCATATTGTTATGCTTATTTACCTACAACAGATTCAATTTTTTTCTTAAAACTCTATTCTGCAAACTATAAACAATACAAATAACACCAAATCTGTTTATGCTATGTAGATACTTTTTTTTTAATAAAGTAAGAACAACAAACTTAGAATCATGGTATGAATTCATTCATTTCATAAAACCTTTCAATCTGTTTACAATGTTGAAACAATAACGATAATTTAGTTGAAGATGTTTTATGAAGGTTACATTTATCTCAGACTGATCTCATTTGAAAATCATTGAAAGTCATGGTACACTAGACAGCTGTTTGGTTATTTTATGAGACATTATCAATGGACGACTAAAGCTTGATGAGGTTATGAATCCAAGACTTTGAAGCCTCAAAGCGAGCTCTCACTTCTAAGAATTTTCATACTAAGGTCATAAAATTGTTCAATACGACTTGTTTTTCATTGGTAAACCAAGTAAGATCAATATGTGACGAACAAGATCTACAAATGAGATCGATTACTTGAGAATAATATATATATACCTTATATCATATTAAAAAATGGTAATAAATACGGGAAAACTACAAAAATGTCCTAACAGTTTAATGTTTATGTGTTAACATAAACATTCTGAGAGAAGACTAATAAAAAAACAATAACATAATTTTCTGGTAAATGATAGTCAATACTGAAAGTTACGGAATAACAACTGTCAGAAGTAAGTGAATAGATGTGGTGTTTGAATTAACTAATGATTCTTTTGTACTTGTTGAATGCTCGATTTCGAATTCCAAATACAATACATTTGTTTGTTCTTGTATCGTAGTTCTTGATTCAATTGCGTTAATTCTGTGATTATTTATTATTAGAAGCTTTATTCAACATCATATTTTTGGTACAACATAGAATTCTCAGCATAAAGTATTTCAACAAGTTTCCTTTTCTTATACCTTGATCTATTGTGACGATAAATTTTGAATGATGATCGGTTAGATGTTAGGAGTTCGGTAATCCACATTTGATTAATGTTCATTCGTTTCAATGCATATTGCCAGCCACCATGATGTCGCTGATTATACCATTTTGTATCACTTATAGCGAAAGGTTGTAAAGTTTTCATAAACGCGCTTGAATAAATTGTGCGCACAATAGACATAATGATGTGCTAAAACAAACAACAAAACAGATAATTTGATGAAATATCTAGATTGGAGGAACAGGTAGCCCAGATATTCAAGCAGGCCGCCAAGTTCAGTGATTCCTCGTTCGTACTATAATTCAAATACTTTTCAGATATTATAATAGATCAATAGCGTAAAACAAGTAAAGCTGATTAAAAAAAATAACTTCAGAATGTAAAAAAATAATCAAAGTCACCAGGGTGTGTAAGATGGACGACTGTATACTTTTCAAGGTATAAACTTCTTTTCAACCTTTTAATTGATATGCCCTTCAAAGGGGCAACATTATCAAATTAATGATGAACAGTGGGATTGTTAATAACATATTGTTGGTGTTTTATAACTGTGCCATATTCATTGCCATTATTTCACTGATCTTCATTGATGTGAAATAAAGTATATGCATTCTTTTATGTTCTTTATTCTTGCTTGATCGGAATTTTTTAAAATGGAATAGATGATCTTTTATAATGTTTATTCATTTGAAGTAAACAGTTAGAGATCAGATAGAATGATCAGTTTAAAACTTCATTAGATCTAGAAGGTTTAAAAGTAGTTCCATTTACCGTTCAATAATATTTTGTTGTGTTTTTATCAATAAATATTCGTCCCCCCTCTCTCTCTCTCTCTCTTAACCCCTCTTTTATTTTCTTATAGACTAAAGACCCGAAATCCTTCAATGGTAAATGTAAGTAATGGTTATTTGATCAGTTTCATTTCAATTACAGTTATTAATTATCAGTACTGAGATGTAACACTAGTTAAAGGTTATTTTGAATAACATTGATTAATTTCTCATAGAAAATTATGATTTATTTAATAATGTAATTATTATGAACTAAAATGAATCCACTTTATACAGACTACTACTAATTGTGGAACCCAATTGCAGTGAAAATTAGATTTCATAGATGGATCAAGTCTAGAATCTTTAGATCATTTGATGATCATAGTTTGTGTAGGTTACTAAATAAATATTCGTTATTCAACATTTCCTACTGCATCCAGTTGTCATCTAGTGATATCGATGATAATTGTAAACTGGAAGAGTCCTGGTACGTTAATTTCTTTGTAAAAGTCAGACAGATAAAATACCAATTTAGGGTCAACAGCACGGCGTGGAATTTAAGTATGGAATGGCTTTTAAAAAAAAGGGGATTATGCATCTGATTATGGTCTCTCCTCATATGTCGTTTTCTGAGCTAACGAGGGCAAATATTATAAATCCTGATGATGTTTCTACATTATGATTCAATTTTGTTAGTTTATATCCTTTTACTCTTCCCAATCTTTGCATTTCGCAAACCTGGTTGATCACCGTTAGAATCTCTAGATCGTAAATGAATTAAATCAAAGACTGTAACAGATAACTCTGTCTGAGCTGTCTCCCTGAACTGGACCAGTCACTATGTTTCACAGAGACCTGAAGAATACATAAGTGGATCTAAGTTAGACAACCATTGAAAACCTAGAAAAATTGTACGGCCGTTTCGTTCTAGTATGCGACTCCTCAACAGTGTGTATCCACGATCCCGAACAGGGGACTCGAACCTAAAACCTTCGGTCTCGCATGTGAACACTTAACCTCTAGGTTAGATCGACTCATCAATTCAACTATCAAAATTACTACAATCTCCATAAACTCTCATTCTGATTAAAATATGTGTTTGTAGAGATTGTTAGCAGACTCATAAATGGAAATTTTGTGATCGAATCCCGATAGGGTTATATGTTTTCACTTTCAAGTCCCATACTACAAAAAGGATGATTGTCTACCAATCCTCAGTTTCTTATTGGTTTGTCAGTTAATGATACATTACAATAAATACTCACTAATTCTATTTAGTTAATATTCGTTAAACGAATATATTTGGTCTTTTAATTGACATATGTCGAATTCATTTGTGTTTCCGCCATAATTTGAGCTAATATAAATAATTTAAACTAATAATTGGTGTAAATTTCAATCATCTGAAACTTAAATTTGGTTTATTTTAATCAATTTAAAAATAGTAATTTAAGATCTTAAAGTAAACTTGTCAATCAGTGTTTAATGTTTTGAAGAAAATAAAGTTCTATAAACATGAGATGATCGAATGTTTTAAGATGGTGGTTAGAGGCAATCGATAAGAAAACCCTGGATCTAAGTTACATATTATTTGAGACTTATCATCGAGGTATCCTGGTCTTCTTGGAATAACTGATTCTTTTTGTAGAATTTGAGCACTTGACACGTATTTCATAGTCAGAGACATTACTATTGAGCTATTAGGTTAACTTGATCGACATAATCTGATCAACAATAAGGAAGATATAAAGTATATAGAACTGGTTACTACTCAGTGGTCAATCAGTTGTAAATTTATATGTTTGTTGTTCAGGTCATTCGCGGTTGTAGTAGATCAGTGGTAATCCCCCTGACTGTGAAATGGTCGAATCCTACAGGAAGGATCAGTTCATTCAGGAGTACAGGTACATCTTGATGATGAGTACCATATAAGATGAAACATATGTCCAGGGTTTTCTTATTGGTTACCTTCAACCACTATCATACATTTGATATATAGTGCACGAGATATCTAATCAGTGAAATAAGTGGCTACATTGAAAACTGGTTGACGGAATTCGACCAGCACTAAGAAGCATTTAACATGTGTGACACTGGTCATCACTCATTGATCAATCAATTGTAATTGATAGAGTTTTATTCGATAGATCGCTGCGAAATAAAATTGTAGTATAAAAGTGTTCAAGACATAATTTTAGTTATCAGGACAATTTAATATTCCATATGCTAACATAGGATACATCGAAGGTGGTTTATATTGCGGACTTGTAACAATTAAAACAAACTGAATTTTTAATACATTGTAACAATGAGCTAAAATAGCCTTCATTTAACATTAAATATTCTTGTCAACTTATCAACAGATAAGCTACTTCCAACTATCATAACTTCAATATTAATCAGTTGTTAATGTTCAGTTGGTGGAGAAGATTTGTAGCTTAGAAAGATGATTGTGATGGAGTTTTGTTCTCTGAGCTGGATGGTTTGGTCGTGGAGCTTTCATCGTTCTTCTGAATGATGTGCTGATGATGTCATTCAGAAGAACGATCAAAGCTTTACGATCATGCCATCCAGCCCCAGAGAACAAAACCCCATCAAAATAATGTACAGTTAGATGATGACTTATTCATAAAAATCATCATTTCATTGATTAAATAGTAAAATAAGTCTATATGAGACTTATCTAACTCTATAGAAAATTTTTGAAGCTCATTGTGTACTTTAATATAGATTAATTCTACTTTCCGTTGTCTTGCAACTGAAATTTATTTAGTCACAGTGATATACATGACCTTCTTCCCCAAGAAATAATTAATATAAACGTTAAATTGTTATAGGCATTTAGTATGTAGCTTTTGACCTAGATTTTAGGATATTTAGTGCTGATCATATAGACGTACATGCAACTTTAAAGCAACTAGTTCCAACGGTTAAACTCAAACCCACCTTAGACAATATAGAATTCTCAGCAGTGGTATATCTGATCTAAATAATTCATTATTTAAATAGACAAGCCATCAAATATTACAGTTACATAATCTTGAAGGAACTGATGGTCTCTATAGGATTCAAGACAGCTCAGGTTACTTTCAATAACTTAATATCAAACATAGAACACATTGATAACTATTCACTTAGACAATTGGTCGTATATGATCTCGATAGTTAGAATTAGATTAGCACTAAAAGAACAAATAAACATGAAATCGATCACTCCTCACTAATCAGTCGATGTTACAATCAATATGAATTCTGTAATACACGTTTCATTTCATTTTTAAGCTCTTCAGTAAGATTCATCTGGATCCTCGAGATATCATCCGTTTTCTTGTGAGAGCTTAAATACTATATTTGTGGAATTTAGTTAGAAAAAGTGTCATAACTTTGTTTCGACATTCTCTATAGAAGTTTCAGATATTTTTGAAGCCACATTAATGAAAGCCTATGACAGCGTGCATTTCATTTAGATTAAAATTCACCTCTTTCGGTTGTATGTATATATTTATATCCAAGCTGGTAATCAAGTAAAGTTTCATTTATTTGACGTTAAATAACATATTTTTGAATGATTTGCAGATACACCAAGACTGCTTTCACTGAAGTGAGACTCTTTACAAAACTGCAAACCAGTAGTTGAATGTCAATAACCATCCCACATATATATATGATCTAAACATTTGTTAATATCAATAAGCATGGTAACTAATTTAACTTGTCATAGTTTGAATGATCCCGCTGTTTGTATTCTTGACTGAATTGTAATCAGCCTTAGTTCGTATATATTTTTTGTGTAAAAGTCGTTTCAATATAGCCATTATGTCACAAGTTTTTAACGAAAAGATGGAATGTGGTTAGTAGTAACATACATAATGCAGGCTTTGTCTTATATGGTACTGGTTATCTAGATATACTTGTCTTCTCGTAATGATGTTCACATTGAGATTTGAACCAAATGCATTTTGCTTCAAACAACTAACGTATTTTCATCAGTTGAGATCATGAGTCAATTGAAGCTAGACCACCATGGAAAACCTGGAAGCACTAGATGGCCATTTCGTCCTATTGTGGGACACGTCAGCAGTGCGCATCCACGAAACCCCTTCTGATACTAATCAACATATGCTCACTAGTGACTGGCTTCAAGAGATATATCCTGGAGTTCTAGTGAGAAGTAGTGAACAGTGGAGTTCAACCAGGTCAATTGTGAGATAGTAACTCACTGATGACAATAGTGGATGTGTCGCTCAATTTGATGGATTAGTTGAAGTTAGACATTACCAGTGATGGATGACGGCCAGCTCATTGGTCTAGTGGTTAAGCGCCTGGCGCGAGACTGATAGGTCCTAGGTTCAAATCCTGCGAGGCGGGGGCGTGGATGCGCACTAGTGAGGAGTCCCACAATAGGATGAAACGGCTGTCCAGTGCTTCCAGGTTTTCCATGATGGTCTATCTTCAACTGACTCATTATCTTAACCATTGAAATTACTACAATCTCCACAAAACCCCTCCTGAAAGTAACGCATTATTCACTGGACTACTGAGTTTAAGTACGCACTAGCTTGTTCAATACGTATATATTTGAATTTAGTTTTAGCTTTCTTAATCAATTTATTCAGAACAACCGAAACAAAAATCCTAGCATTGTTGTAAAAAGACAATGATTGCTCATACGGTCACCCACAAACATTAAATACATTTCACATTTGCATATACCGTTAATAAATTATTCTCTTACAGGTCACCATCATGTTTAAAATGATTGCTATTGTTTTAAGACTTTAGTCGCACATTAAAGCTTCATCATGCCATTTGATTGACTTAAACAATGGTTTATTAAACTACTTATGAATTTATAAATGACTATGTCAGAAATTAATATCAGTGTTTCCTGACGATTGCTTCTGATCATCTAGCATTAAAAGATAGTGAAAACGATTTTGAGTCACTTAGACTAATAATCACATTACAACCTGATAGATAGAATTCATACAGAACTATGACAGTGGTCATAAAACAATGATCCGTTAATGTACATATTCATATGCATCTCGGTTATACTTTCTACGTTGAAGAAATGGATCCTATTCATAGTTTGTAGATAATTTTTTATTATATTTAACTCAACTGTAAAACTATAGTTTTCATTTCATATCTATCAATCAATCCACCATAAATCAATCTACATATATGTGTAAATAAGAGAACAGATACATGATCATGTGAATCAGTAAGTAAGATCCCTTGATTTTGTTTATTTTCACAATTTGTCACATAACAATCTACATAAATGTTTTACTACTTTAGTCAGATGACAAATGATTTAACATTCATTTATACTCAAACCCACGATGGTTATAACTAAAGAAACTTTACAATGATTGAATTCATTTAAGATTTGCATTGATCTTTATCAGTATTTACTAAAGCTATAAGTTGACTATTTAATATAAGAAAACTTTAAAACAGTTAGTGTAGTAATAGTTGTGTTCTAATTATCTACCTCTGGATTGATATGCCAAGTATGTGATTCATTCAATTTCTGTATATCTACTGATATACTGATATCATCATTATTAACTGTACTAAATCAATACGAAGATATATATATTTGTATAATTGAAATCCAACATCCATCAGTAATAAATTACATTCCGAGTGTAACTTGCTGAAGTTGATAATATCATGTTAAACTGTAATTATTAAGGATTACGAGTAGTTGATTAATAAACATTGGAAGGGAAAATGTTGTTTATTATTCGGTAGTAACTTATTATCAGTTGTATTTTGTAGTTTTGCATCACGGACTGATGCTAGCCTACTGAAGAAGCAATTGTTTTGTTCTAGAACAGGATTTTACAGAAATCCTCATCCACAACCTCATCAATGATCAAATCAAAGACTTTCCAGACTTCACGGAGGGAGCTTAATCTTTAACTGGTTGTCTAAGTAACCTTAGTTCATGACTAATCCTGTGAAATTGGATAATCCGTCGATTTATTTTCATTTACACATGTGTAAGTCTGAATAGATTTGAGATGATTACTGATGACATACTTGATCATTCTGGATAACCTGTATGCATATTTGACTCACAAATCCAATCATAATGAACGTTTTTGAAGACTATTAATTTTAGGGAAGTATTTAATACTTAAATATGCAAAATATGTGAAACAATTTGAGCCTGTATTTACTACTAATATTGCCTATCTTAATTATGCTACATATTAAAATTAATCTACCTCACTGTCATTTGAGAAAGATTTCTTTGGTATATTGACTTTTGATCCATGAGTGATCTGTTAACGGATATTTCTAAATCCATTACTTTCTTACTGATTTGATTATTGTAATACTTGATTGATTGTATTAGTAAATCCAAAGAGAATTTCTATCTTGAACAGTCATAGATTGAGAACGTGCATGAAACTGTATACTGAAAGATGACATTCCGAACTTATGAATAAAGGAAATCTAATGAAGGTTGCAAAATGAAACACAAGAACTTTATTTCACTTGGTATTGTTTTACTTGGATCTTCCCATTGATGTTTTTGGACTGAAATTGATCAGTCTCTTATTGGCATGTGTGCATACTGTGCGTATACCTAGATATTGCCTTAATTTACAAGCATTATAAGCAAAGATGGATAGTGGCTAGCAATGGAATCCAGGACTCGCGTTTCGTCCTATTTGGGACTCGTCAGCTGAATCCATCTGCATCTCAGAGTTGATGCTCACTCTGGGACTCGAAGCGAACGGTACTGGGTTCGAGTCCCAGAGTGAGTATCAACTCTGAGATGCAGGTACATCCAGCTGACGAGTCACAAACAGGACGAAACGCGAGTCCTGGATTCCACTGCTAGCCACTATCCATCTTTGCTTACAATAACTTTATGTTTCATAACTAAAAGACTGAGTTTAACAAGTCTATATGCCCAAATTGATGTATATTAAAACAATTTTACGCTCGGTCCATTCCAACAAGTTGTTTTAACTGTTGTTGTTTATTTGTTAAATCTGTACTCAAATTACAGTGTCGTAAATATGAGAATTATAGAGATTGATTTCTACGGATTCTATAATGAGATGAGTTATTAGATTTACATCTAGTCCAGATGCAAGACAGAAGGATAGAAAAAGTCATGTACTGAAGGATTCGATAATACACTAAATCTTAAATTTTATAACAACAGAAAAACATGCTAGTAGAAAAATAAAACACCAGTCGTCAATGACATGGTAAAGGTGAATATTAACTAAGAAACTCCTAGAGATGGAACGAGGCAAGTTTTCGTAGATGAAAATGAATTTCTGGTCAAAAGTCTTGAAATCATTCTTATGATGAATTTAAATATTTCAAATATATTTTGGTTGTGTACTGAAGTGGATTCTTTTACAAGGGATGAAATAACTGTTCGAAATGCTCCGGATTTTTTGAATAGTTGTTTAACTTAAGCTGGTTTATGATGTGAGCTAATTGTTACAAGCCTTCCATCTCTATAATAAACGTATTTTAATCAATAGATAACGTTTAGAAGAACTTCATATGTTCTGGTGAGAAGCTATAACCAGTAGAATATCAAATATAAACATAAGACATTTATCGCTTTGGGAATGAATGATAATGCTGCACTTCCATAAATTCCATGAGGTTAGAATTGGAAAACTAAATGATTCTAACTCAACGGTTTCAAGATAATATGAAGTCCATTAGTTCTCATTTTTGAGGATTCCTATAAAGGTACAAAACGCCTATCATATATTTCCGGATTTTCCATGATTATCCAACCAAGATTAACTTTATTTGTATCTAATTCTTGTTGGATGGTTTAGTTTAGTCAGTCATTTAAGTTCGTATTTAGGAGAAATTTATTCCTTTAAGCTTTGTTAACACTTATTTCATTGTTTATATCAATAATCCATATATTTTGTAAATTATTATTTGTATATGTCTGTTTCAGTATGTGGAGTATGTTTGAAATTTTATAATTCCGCCATGTCATTGTTTCTGGATCATACTAAACTTGAACATTTACAAGAAAAATTAATTAATATCTGTGAATTTATAGGACCATTTCGTGATCAAGTCAGTTGAGTTAATTAATTAAATTTTCTTTGAATTATTATTTCAGTAATATTATTTTAAAACTAAATGTTTAACCATATGTAAATGATAGATCTTTTCTTGATAAGATTTCAACAGGATTGAAGTGTGTTGTTTGATGGTATCAGAGAATTTCAAAGATTTGAAGTAAATGATATTTATGATTTAATACTATTGATTTTATATACCTCTTGACATGTTGAAGTTAATTCTTATTTGATCCCTTTTCAGTTGTCTCCCATCGTAGTTTCTTCTTCTTACAGTAGATCGTGTGAGGCTTGGAACCTGTTGTTGAGAGTAATCTTGAATTCGTTGAATTTGACAGTATCTCGTAGGAAGGCTGTATTGAACCTTCGTACTACTGTCTTCCCAGCTGTTTAGTGTTTCTTTAGATTCACTTTCATCTTGACCACAACCAGATGGTGATCTGAAGCTGTCAGCTCCTCTCCTGGTTCTCACATCTTCCATAATCCTATTGAATTTTTTATTGATATAAATATGATCGATCTGGTTCCCCGTTATGTGATCCGGTGAGATGCATATGGCTTTGTGTATGCATTTGTGTGGGAATATTGTGCGAGCTAAAACCGATTTGTTGAATGCACCTAGGTTTGCGAATCTCCCATCATTTTTGTTTCTCTCTCTCAGTCCATGTTGTCCCATGGTATCTTCATATCCAGTGTTGTGTGTGCCAACTTTGTCGCTTAGGTCTCCCATCAAGATGATCAGGTCTTTTCCTGGACACTTCGCTATCATCGATTGGAGCTTTTCATAAAACGGATCTTTATTGTCGTTGTTGCTATCATTGGTGGATGCATAACATTGGATAATACTCATTGTGATTCCCTCCTTCTTTGTTTTGAATAATGCTTTGATGATTCTGGGTTCATGAGATTCCCATCCTATAAGTGCATTTCGTACTTATTTGGACAGTATCAGAACAACTCCATGAGTGTGTGGAATATTTTCCTCTTCATGACCGGAGTACAGCAACATCTTCCCCAAATTCATCCTTTTCTGTCCAGCTTGAGTCCGACGTATTTCACTGATTCCCAGCACCGTCAAGTTGTATCTCCTCATTTTGTAGCTATTCGAATAGTCCTCCCGGTCCCCCACATTGTCCGGATATTTCATGTATCTATATTAATTGTTGCTCCGGTTGTTAAAAGAGATATCGGCCTCGTGACTTCCGAAGAGCCTCGGCTTTCATCATGAGGCCTCATAATACTTCTGAGTGAACATCCTTCAACTCGGAGGAGAGCGTTCAAATGGTTTAATTTGTCTAATTTCTTTAGCGTTTTTTTAGCAGGTTATTTTACGGGGTGGGGTTGTCGACCCCACGCTCAACCCTCCTCCTTTTGTGGGCTTGGAACTAGAGGTAGTCCTAGAAGAGCTACAGGCGGAGCTTGGTATCTCTGAAGCTTTAACAAAATGGATCTAGAAAGTCCACATATTGACATCTGGAAAGCGTATACGAGGAGCTAGCACGCTATGTCGCTGACGGGGCAACGCAATAATATCATATCAATCCACTTTATGCAAACTGAAAGACATAACAGTGAATGAAGTTATCTCTTGATTTATTTGATAGGTATTAATTAGTGTTTTTGACTTTCAGCCACACTCTGATTGTGAGGTTTAGTGATTCTGTCCAGATACCTAGATCGAAATAGATGGAGAAGTTTTGATTATGGGATTAGTGGCTAAAATTTAAATGCTTTAACCACTGAGCCACCTCTTTATCAAAGAAAAGCGAATACCATACCATATATAAACTAAGTTGAGCAAACAATAAATTGAACAAAGTGGACTTTAGCTGCATATACATGTACATGAACATAGTCTAGTAATAGTAGGCAATGTCACTGATTATGTCGGTGTTTTCAGACGACTGAGTACATGAATGTGACTGAAGAAGCATGAGAATTCTAAGGTTGAGGTAGCTCAAGAATACGCAAAACGTTTTTCAAGCACTTCATTTACGTCAAACCAGAGTCACTTGATAAATAGACAAATTTAATTTATTAATTCATAAAAAAACGGTAATGAATCACACAGTAAGGAGTGAATCAAATAAATTAATCAGTTCTAGTATATAGATGGAGGAAGATATAATGCAGGTTATTGTATCATCAGTGGATTGATTGAAAAGTTTAACTTATACTTGCAGTAAGAGTTGATATAATTGTTCATTTAAACCAAGTAGCAAAGAGAATAGAACATTACCTAAATACATTTCATATCTTGGAAATTTTGAATAAGTATTAAGTGATTTCATGCAATATTTCTACCTACTGTACTAAATTGGGAACTGCCCAGCATATGGAGTGTAATAATTATTGATAGTAGTTATCTAGATTTCTTAAATCCATTCGTCTACATTACGAACCTGAAGAGCAAGTATTGATTTTAAGTAGTGTAATGAAAGTATTAGCCACTATTTACTTGGCATGATTTGATAGACAGTTTATTAAAAACTTTATTCTACTAACTTTTACTGTACTACATAATTGAATTATGTGATAATTATGCGAGTTTCGGAGTGAACATCAACTCTGGGATGCAGGTACATTCAGCTGACCAGTCCTAAATGAGAAGAAACGCGCGTCCTTGACTCCACTGTTAATCACCATTATATTTACTTATAATGCTTGTAACTTGAGGTAATATCGATGTAATCCGCATACGGTCCACACATTTCAATATGAGACTGATCAAATGCGATCCTAAACATCATCGGGAAGATTCAAATAAACAGTGCAGAAATGAACTACTAATATTATTAATACTAGTACTGTAGTAGAAGCTACTCACAAGATTTCTTGTAAGTAGTATACCGCGAAACGTGGCGTTGAAGTTGTTCGACAGTGAAGAATTTCGGTATAGCAAAAGCAGGGCGTCATCCCAATACTTGAAGACCAGATGAGAAAATAGTTTAGATTGCAGTATACACCGAAAGATACAAACATGTATATATGTATTGAGTAAATGTATTTTAATTGTTCCCAATAAACATATATATTCCTTCTGCTCATTTCCTTCTTTTACAGTAGTATCAATATGAATAGAAGTATTTACAAAAATAATAATAACTCCAATGTTCATATGTTTTCTCTATATTTTTGTAGTGTGTAGCCCTAGTCACATTTACAATGTTTAAAGTAATTAATAAATCTATGGCCCAAATCGATCCATCGGTATCTTGTGAAGTATGCAGTTTTTATTTAGATTTTTATCAAAATTTTCTTTAAATTATATAAATTTATAAAAAAAGAAAGCGATTGCTCTTAGAAACCAATTTTAGTTATAATTACTACTTAAATATATTTCAATCCAATTTGAGAGGAATCAGTTTAAATCTTGTTCAATTTTATCATTGACAAATAATGAATGGATTGGTTGATGTTAGACACCACTGGATGCCGGCTCAGTGGTCCAGTAGGTTAAGCGTTCGCTCGCGAGACCAAAGGCCTTGGGTTCCAATCCTGCGAGTTGGGATCGCGGATGCACACTGCTGAGGAGTCCCACAATAGGACGAAACGACCGTCCAGTGCTTCCAGGTTACCAAGGATGGTCTAACATCAGTCGTCTCATGATCTCAATAAAAAAATAATGAATAGATTGGTTAAGAGATTTAAAAGTGTTTTCATATATTTTCCCTGTCATTTAGATCTTTAATGATACTCAATTAGAAGATGATTAAAACATTTGGTATGACTATAATTTATGAACGACCTTTGAGTGCCGTTAAAATGACCTTGAGAATGTTCACCTACTAACTAGGACTAAATGATGGTTAGAAAACGGTGTGATGAATTCGAATTATGATTAACAGTTGATGGTTAGGGTTAGGCATACGATTTACAGTTTTGATCACGAACTGCCAAAACTCTATTTAGCCAAATCGATGAATGAATTAAGCGCCAAAATCCAAGACCTGTTATCGTAAATCTGATTGGTTTGTCCATAAATTATAGTCTCGCCAGTAAAATCTTTTAACATTAAATATGACATTCTAAGTGAAATGTTGAGAACAAGAATTAAACTCTGAAATATGCGGGAACTTTAAGTAACTTGATTATTTCTATTTACTTGAGTGTCATTTGTATTCAGTATATCTGTCAGTTATCATTAAAATTGATGATACTGGACTAATCTAGTGATTGATTTACGGGAATTTTATTTGGAAATATAACGAACTTCTGACTGAAGAAACTTAAATCCCATTAGAAAGTAATTAAGTATTTTTCTGTAAATCAAAGGCTGAAACAAACAATAATCATCAATGATTTTGAGATGATGGAGAAGATTTGTAGCTCCGGTGGATGATTTTGGTGTAGTTTTGTTCTTTGAGCTGGATGGTTTGATCATGGAGCTTTCATCGTTCTTCTGAACGACATCATCAGCAAAAACTTCAGGTAGAAGTGAAGTGTTCGAATTTCTCCATATATGAAAGCTCCACGACCAAACCATCCAGCTCAGAGAACGAAACTCCACCAAAATCATCAATGATATTTATAATAATTATATAAGATAGTACACAGTTCCTCATGACAGCTAATATACTCAGAATAAAAATAATTGAAGGAAATTTTTTAATACTTCAGGAGATCTTCCTTGAAATAACAATAAACCAATGACGTTATACATGTTGTATCTTAATTTCTAAACGTTATTGTTTTGTTTTAAGTATAATCACCAATGAGTATATATTTCTTGTTGAAATATTGATGTGAAGGTTTCATTTCTTTGAAAAGTAACCCTAATCAAAATGATTAAAAACACGAACAATCACATCATTTCATTTCTCTTTACTTACCTATTACAACAATCAATAATCATGAGCGGTATAGACATGAATTGTTTTATTTTTTGTGTATGTAGTAACATATAGAATATAATCCCATGATAATCTAATACATTGAAGATGATCATTTTCTAATATGAAGAAACTTTTTCTATAGAAATAAACATTGTAAGTGTGTAGTGATCATCATCATCTTCACTTAGGTGTTCGTGAATAACTTAATCCATTTTTGTTAGGAACATTCATTTGATTATGTAAACGTCTATGACAATCATTGTTACAAGTTTCTATGTGTTTAATTCAGACTTGTATGGCACCAAACAGTTTTGATTGGATTCGATCAATAATCTTGATACTTACTTGAAAATCAATTCGTTTTTTAGTATAGAGTAGATTTATTTGATATTTCACATTATTTTTGTAAATGCTGAGATAATACCCTGAAACTTGAACTTATACAAGTAGTTTTCTTCGTATACCGCCTGCTAAATCCTTGTCGTCAAGGTCTAGTTAACAACTTTATAAAGAGATATTAGGAGACACATCTAGTAAGTAAGTAATTAGGATCCTGGAACCAATTAATACTATTCTTTTCTATTCGTATTTAATATATCAGTTTCAGCACTTATGTCATTCCCCCCCCATCATTTTGGTAGAAAAACGAATGGTTAAACCTTTACTTGGTTATTAAACTCATCATCATCAAAATTTTATGCCAAGAAATTATTGTATCTTGTATCTATAAAGTATTAAATTAATTTTTTAATATTTTCTATTTCAGGGTTGGTATTTATGTTATAGAAAATAGACAATCTAGTTCAGTCAATTGCGGAAACTGTGGATCTTGAATGAATTGAATACAGTGAAAAGTTACTGATTTATTTTTTCTTTTAATGATAAATAAATTTTTAATATTATAGATTTTAACTAAACGTTTCATCCCATATCAAATATTCTATAACTAATTTAGAATAATACTAACCAGAGAATTAATCAATAAGTGAATCTTTTCATTGATTATCTTATGCTTATAATAAAGTTAAATGATTTGATCATGGATGCGCACTACTGAGGAGTCCCATACTAGGATGAACCGGTCGTCCAGTGCTTCCAGGTTTTCAATAGTGGTCTAGCTTCAAATGACTCATGATTTCAATCTGTGAAATTTCTAATATCTCCACAAAACCCCTTCTGATAATTAAAATCAAATCATAATCTGTTGAATTAATACCGAATTAATAGAAGATAATTATAAACCTAAGAGTATTAAATTCACTTGGTACTGTTTGGTTTGTATCTTCCCATTGAGGTTTAAGACTGCAATTGATTAGTCTGTTATTGGCACATGTGCATACTGTGCGTATGCCTCGTTATTGCCTTAATTCATAAGCTTTTTGTAAGCAATGACGGATAGTGGCTAGCAGTGGAATCCAGGACTCGTCAGTTGGATGTACCTGCATCTCGGAGTTGATGTTCACTCTGGGACTCGAACCCAGTACCATTCGCTTCAAACGCCATCGCGTTATCCACTGAGCTACTGACTCCTGATAGCTTTCCTTTCCTTAATAGTTTCTCAATGACTTCTATACTTGATATTAGAAACAAGAGAAATAAGAATTGCCCGTTATCAATGATGAATAAGTTAAAATTCAAGAATTTATAATGATGAATTTGAATGAACACAAAATTTAGTTTTCTTCAGTTTTTAGAATATTTCATAGATTGATCTGTAATTGTAATATTATGGAGTCAGATATAAAATCTGAATAATCACTTCTATTGAAATTTGAAACAATTAGTCCCTTTGATAAATTTCGATAATGCAATGAGAAGACGATGTTTGTGACAATTATGTGATATATTTGCGCAATACATTTCGAACAATCTGATCACACATATATACTTGTTAAGAACATTTATATATGAAAATTAAAAGGTCAACTAGACAGGTTAATGGTAAGTCATAACAAAGGAAAAATATTAAGGTGCCACTCTGGACAATAAATAGTATTACCAGGGTAGGTTAAGTGTAAGGACAAATTGTTTTTGGACACAAAAAGGAGGTTTCAATTTCCGTATAGCCAAGGCTTCAATAAACCTTAGTATACGTCCTTGAAGGCTTTTGTATAACACTACAAATGCTGATTTGATGTGAACTATATGATCCGTCTCAATCAAATGTTTCGCAATAGAGGATGATGCCTGTCTATCATGTGATCTTATTTGACCATTGGAATTTATTTGTTTCTGCAACCATTTTGGTATATGTTCACCCACCCTTAATTACAAATCACGATTGCTACTCCCTATGTACGTGTTTCCACACATACATGTAAATTGATAGACACAATGGGATGTGACACAATCACTTTCGTGCTGTTCGGGCTTTTGGCGAAACATAGACCTTGTCTTTTCGATAATGACAAGTTGGGCTGCATAAAATGTCCAGTTGATAGCTAATTTAAGTCTCTGTTTCAGCATGAGACTATTTGTGTCTCCTCTGAGTGGTAACGTAATATAAACTCGCTTTTTAGGTGCCAGAAGAGTCATAGGTCTAGTCGTATTGTAACCATTTCAGCGGTTTATGAACTTCAAAGAATAACCATTATTCATTAACGCATCAGTCAAGATCTTCGTCTCTACTCTACCTTTTAATTTTCACATATAAATGTTCTTAACAAGTATATGTGTTATCAGATTGTTCGAAATGTATTGCGCAAATATATCACATAATTCTGATAAACTTCTTCTTCTCATTGCATTATCGAAACTTCTACTGACTTTGATTAAGGAAGATTTCTGAAAATTTTAAAATGTAGACATGACTATTTAATGAAAAATTTAAGAATGAATATACTTTGAAAGTTAAAAATCAGTGTCATTGATAGAAACTCTTAGGTTATAAGTTTGATCCTTATGTAAGTTTGGTATATAGTAACAAGCCTGAATTAAGTATTTATACAATTTATATTCTTGAATGAATTTGTATCTGAGTTACAGAAGAATTTTATATTGACTCACAGTGATTGAGCAACCCTGTATAACAATCATTTATCAATAATTAGTAAGTAACTCCTAGAGTTATTTAAGGGGGTTTATTTTAGAAGACAACTATTTAAACAATTAGAATAAAATTACTTGAATATAAGTGATGTAGTAAAATTTGATAATAATTTACTATACTACTATCAAAAAGGTTGTTTACATTTCAACAGTATATTTGTTTAGTAATCAGAAAAATAATCAGTATTTCATATTATAGTCGATTATATTAGGAAATGTTATTCATCCATATTGAAAGTGTTATACTTTTGAACAAAATCCAGCATTCTATCATAAAGCCAAAAACAAAACAGATAAAGATTTGAATGATTTAAAAGTTCTTATTATAAAAAGGAAATTATAAGAAAACTAAAATGTATAACAATCACCGATGGAAATCAATTATTTTATAACAAAGTTACTAACTGATTGACTCTTCACAATCTGAATAATAAAATCAATAAATGGTTGTACTGTAGTAATTTATTATTACATAACCAGCCGAACAAGAGCAGAAAAAGCTAAGGCACAAGCTGAATACACGGAAATAAACAAACAAGTGAAAAGGAGCATCAGAACCGACAAACGTAAATATGTGGAAGATTTAGCAACGACGGCGGAAAAGGCTTCAAGAGAAGGAAACATGAGACAATTGTATGACACGACAAAGAAGCTCTCTGGAAATCGCCGCAAACCAGAACGACCAGTGAAAAGCAAGGAAGGCAAGGTAATCACCCACATTGAAGAGCAACAAAACAGGTGGATAGAACACTTCAAAGAACTCTTGAATCGACCAGCGCCACTGAACCCACCCAACATCGAAGCAGCACCCACGGACCTCCCAATCAATGTTGGCTCACCAACAATTGAAGAAATCAGCATGGCCATCAGGCAAATCAAGAGTGGCAAAGCAGCAGGACCGGACAACATCCCGGCAGAGGCACTAAAAGCAGACGTAGCGGCAACTGCAAGGATACTCCACATTCTCTTCAATAAGATTTGGGATGAGGAACAAGTACCAACAGACTGGAAAGAAGGACTTCTGATCAAAATACCGAAGAAAGGCGATCTCAGCAAGTGTGATAACTACAGAGGCATCACTCTTCTCTCAATACCGGGAAAAGTCTTCAACAGGGTATTGTTAAACAGGATGAAGGACTGCGTAGACGCCCAACTTCGAGACCAACAGGCAGGATTCCGTAAGGATAGATCGTGTACAGACCAAATCGCGACTCTACGGATCATTGTGGAACAATCAATTGAATGGAATTCATCACTCTACATCAACTTCATTGACTACGAAAAGGCATTTGACAGCGTGGACAGAACAACACTATGGAAACTTCTTCGACACTACGGCGTGCCTCAGAAGATAGTCAATATCATACAGAACTCATATGATGGATTACACTGCAAAATTGTGCATGGAGGACAGTTGACAAAGTCGTTCGAAGTGAAGACCGGTGTTAGGCAAGGTTGCTTACTCTCACCGTTTCTCTTTCTCTTGGTGATCGACTGGATCATGAAGACGTCAACGTCTGAAGGAAAGCGCGGGATACAATGGACATCTAAGATGCAGTTGGATGATCTAGACTTCGCAGACGATCTGGCCCTTCTATCCCACACGCAACAACAGATGCAGGAGAAGACAAACAGCGTGGCAGCAGCCTCAGCAGCAGTAGGTCTCAACATACACAAAGGGAAAAGCAGGATTCTCCGATACAACACAGCATGCACCAATCCAATCACAATTGACAGAGAAGATTTGGAAGATGTAAAAACCTTTACATATTTGGGCAGCATCATTGATGAACAGGGTGGATCTGATGCAGATGTGAAGGCGCGGATCGGCAAAGCAAGAGCAGCATATTTACAACTGAAGAACATCTGGAGCTCAAAGCAACTGTCAACCAACACCAAGGTCAGGATTTTCAATACAAATGTCAAGACAGTTCTACTGTATGGGGCAGAAACCTGGAGAACTACAAAAGCCATCATCCAGAAAATACAGGTGTTTATTAACAATTGTCTACGCAAAATACTTCAGATCCATTGGCCGGACACTATTAGCAACAACGTACTGTGGGAGAGAACAAACCAGATCCCAGTGGAGGAAGAAATCAGGAAGAAGCGCTGGAAGTGGATAGGACACACATTGAGGAAAGCACCCAACTGCGTCACGAGACAAGCCCCCACATGGAATCCTGAAGGTCAAAGGAAAAGAGGAAGACCAAAGAACACATTACGCCGAGAACTGGAGATAGACATGAGAAAAATGAACAAGAATTGGATGGAACTAGAAAAGAAGGCCCAGGACAGAGTGGGTTGGAGAATGCTGGTCAGCGGCCTATGCTCCATTGGGAGTAACAGGCGTAAGTAAGTAAGTAAGTAAGGAGATAATTAGGCGTATAGAATATTCGACAGGCTTTACTTCGAAATACTTTGATGGATTTTAACTGCGTAAAATAAAATTGATCATGGAAACAGTTGTGGTGTGTGCTACTTATATTGACGTTATATATATAGATGTTAGTCGTGAACAAAGGGTCTGACAGCAGAGAGACAAGAGGATCGAACAGTAAAGAATGGAAACAGGATGCAATTAGTATGAAATTGCAAGAACAATGAAGTCTGAATCATTTTGAGAAAATTAATGAACATTTTGGAAACTAAACATTTACTTTATGATTGTTAGATTTTATTAACAAGTCCTGTAATTCAGTGTTAAATACATTCGATTGCCCCCACTGGTGTTCTTGTTCACTACACCGTAATAACTTATTCCATTAGGTGAAAACTCCCTGTTTAGTGTAACATTCATTGATGGTACAATTTTATGAACTGAACTGTCAGTATAATTCATGTTTATAAATATACACTTCCTTGTTAGTATCAGTGTAATAGTTTATGGTTAGGAATGTGACATGGATCAAAGTAGATTTCAAGTGCACAGTTACATTTATTCTCAGCATTCCACTAAATCTCGGTTTAATTATATTATTGTTGATTGAGATCACAAATCAGTTAATTTTGGACCACCATTGGAAAACCTGAAAGCACTGGATGGTTGTTTTGTGTTATTATGAGACTCCTCAGAAATGTATCCATGACCTCGCACACGGAGGAATTGAACTCAAAACCTTCGGTCTTGCTTGCGAACGCTGAGGAGTCCCATACTAGAACGAAACGGCCATCCAGTGCTTGAGCGTTTTCAATGGTGGTCAAACATTGATCGATTCATAATCTTAATCAAAACTCAACAATCTCCACAACCCTATACTGATAAACAATTTAGTTTTAGTTTTTCATTTTTGAATGGAACTTCATTTAATGAAATAATATTTATATCTAATTAAGAAATAATATACACCCTGATTACATTACCTGACAAAGGCGTTGTATAAGAAATTGTTTATTGAAGCTTAATGTTACTGCCAAGAACAAATCATGTAGGAATGGACCACACTAAAAATAAAAGTAAAATACAGTAAAGATTGAGGTGTTATAAAACAAAGACAAAATGAAAATTAAATATAGAAGAGAGATGTGAAATTTGAAACAATTAATCCCTTTGATCAATTTTGATAGGGTATAATAAGAAGGTGAAGATGATCAGAACTATATAACAAGGAATCTAATTAACAAGATTAATTGTCTTTGCACAAAAGACTCTATTAATGATGACATTAGGTTATTGAATAAAACAATAATGTAAAATGATTACCCTCTAAAACTTATAAATCGATGGAAAGGTCATGGTATAGTGAGACCCATTATAGCCTTGGCACAAACAAAAAGCCTGTCTATATCACCTTGCTGTTTAGAGGTGATCCAAATAAACAAAAGCTTAAGCAGTTATTGACAAAACGTATTACTCAGTAAAAAAATTATTCTCAAGGAAGAAACAACGTCAATGCTTCACCAAAAACTTAAAAGACATAAAAACTATTGCGTCACATCCCACTGTGAGTGTTGCCACACATATATAGGACGGAGTAATCGTGATATCCAAATTAAGGTGTGTAAACATGTACCTAAACGATTGCAGAAATAAATAAAATCGAATGACCCAATAAGAGTAAATGATAAATATCTATCATCGTCTATTGTCAAATACATCGTTGAGATAGGTCACAAGATTGATTTTAACACGGCTTTTCTAGTGTCGTACAAGTGTAAAAGAATATGTGCTAAGGTTTATTGAAGCCTCAGCCATACGAAAATGAATATAAAATACTGTATAATATAATTATAAACAATTATATATGGTTTTAATAAATGACATCATTAAATTGATGATTCTTTTCATTGGATTGTTTTAATTTTGCTTAATTAATTCATTATTTGCAACTATTCTACAGTAAAATCCAAACTTTTGATTATATAATATCTGAAACATTTTAAATGGGTATATCTTTATCTTCATTTTACTAAGAATCAAATACAGGGATATTCTCCTGAACTGAAAAACAGTAAACTGCAGTGAAATTTAGTGACTCAAACTATGACATTTGAGGTTACTGTTTGTCGGTTTGAGTTTCACTATATGTGATATCAGTACCTGCTAGCTATTGTCAAATGTACATAAAATTTAATCCAAGGTATTGAATATTTTCCACAATTTCATGCTTCCATAGTCCTAAATTAGACGTTCGTTGATGATTGATTTAGGAATAGACATAAATAGCGAACTGCATAAATCTATTGCATAAACAAATTGATTTAACTAAGGCCATTTTGGTTCACGTTCTTCATAGTAGCAGCATCTATATAGGAACTGTCAGATCATGTTTCGGATTACCTTCTTAGTCCCAATCTTTTTGGATGTCTTTGTTTTCTTAGGAATGGATGTCTACATAGCTGCTGGATTTGCGAATACCAACTTAATGGTTTGAACGTTTAGATTTTTTCTACAATAGTTGAAAATTCTTTATTCAGTCACAAGAGATGTCATGTGTGCATGCTGCCCAGTAGTCCTTTACTAAGACAAACAAGATGTCCAAAGCTCTCTGGTTTTCCATTGTTGTCTAATTACAGTCAGTCCGTAATATAAACAATGGAATATACTAGATATTGGATGTTTGCAAAAGTTCTCTAATAATTTATGGACTCTTGTTTTATGAGTAATAATAAGTACCCTCCTGCAACCAACCTGAAACAACATGGTCACGCTACATTGTGGATTTGTTGGCGTTAAACACCAACACCGTTCGATACCGGCTCAATGGTCTACAGGTTAAGCGTTTGCACGCAAGACTGAAGATGCTGTGTTCAAATCCCGCGTACGGGATCATGGATGCGCACCGTTTATGAGTTCCATACTGCGACGAAACAGCCGTCTAGTCCTTTCAGGTTTTCAATGGTGATCTAACATTAATCGGTTCATGATTTCAACGGAATCGAAATAACATATTGTCTCTTGTGTTTGAGCCCAGATCATAAATTATTATTACTAATTTTATAGACAATCAATTCTAATTGAATCCCTTTAACTATGAAACAATGGAATAAAAAACTACTGTACCATTTAATCTGATTCCGAGATGAATATCTGATAAGTAGTATGATATGTGCTACTTATATTGACATAAGTAGTATATAGTGTTAGTCGTAAACAGAAGGTCTGGAAACAGAGAGACAAGAGGATCGAACAGTATAGAATGGAAAAAAATGCAATTTGTATGAAAATGCAAGAACAATGAAGTCTGAGTCATTTTGAGACAATTGATGGACATTTTGCAAATTAAGCATTTATTTTATGATTGTTAGATTTTATTAACAAATCCTGTAATTTTGCGTTAAATAAATTTGATTGCCCCCACTGGTATTTTTGTTCACTACATTTGGTATCACTGCCAACCAGGAGGAAAGGGGTGCCGTTGCGGGCCTGGAGCTGAGGTGCTGGTTGGGACAGTCTGGTGCGGAGAGGTAGAGCCAAGTGGAATGTTCTGACGGGGTGGCGTTGGCTGTAGAGGGTGTTGTCGACGGAGAGGAGCGGTGGGACGTGCGTCTGCTGGGCAGACTCCAGATATAGATGACTCAGCAGGTCGGTAGTAGTTAATAAACAAAACCCAATAACTAAAAGAGTAATTATTTCTAATAGTAACATCTTCTATTAGGTTCTTCTGGGATTTGTTACAGTTAAATTTCAACGAACTCATCATAACTTAGGATAAGATGACTTCCAATTATTCAATTAATAAAAAGAAACCCAATGATCATACATAAAGTAAACATTTAATTGTATGAACTGTAATAAATAAAAAGTAAGGAACTAAGTAAAATAATAAAACGTGTATACTTCAACTAAGCTAAATAAATATTTGAATAAATTTAATCAATAATTCATAATCAATATATATGAAAATCAATAATTGAAAACATTATCAAATCAATAAACAAAACAAATATAAATATTGACAAGTATAAACTTACAATGAGTGATTGATTGCGTTGTGTATTACACATATTTAATGTATTATTATATAACTCGGATACAAAAGTTTCCGACAATAATATTGATTTGATTGAAAGTCCAGATTTAAGGCAATATTCACAAACTAAATACCGTACAGAAAAAAGAGTTTTGATCAGTATGCAAAAAAAAGTTGATAATTAGAACTACATTTAATCAAATTTACTTAGTGTTGTTTTACTTGTATCTCTTCAGTAGCTAAGTAGGTAACGCGATTATGTTTGAAGCGAATGGTACTGGGTTCGAATCCCAGAGTGAAAATTTACTCTGGGATACAGATACGTCCATCTGACGAGTCTCAGATAAAACGAAACGTGCGTCCTGGATTCCACTGCTAGCCACTATCCGTCTTTGCTTACATTTAATCAACTTTTGTTATTGTATATGAATTTTGAATGGATACCTCGAGATTGTTTAGAAACTCTTCAGTATGTCTTATCATCATTTTTTTATTAGTTTATAGAAAATTAAGCTAATCAAATATTCAGAGGCTTAGTAAAACTTGTGTATATGATCATTATAGAAGGGTGACAGTATTGTACAGTGATAAATTTAAAGCAACTGCAACAAATTTCCAACTAGTTTCTAGTCAATCAGCAAAAAGCGTTTATAAGTGGATGGTTTTTGGAAAAAGAAATAACCATATTTTGAAGTATAAACAGATTTTACATAATTACTAAATACTTTAATATCTTCTGCAGGTTAGCCAGAGTATAAACCCAAAGAATAAAGACAGAGAAACTTGTTCTTATAAATAGAGATGGTCTATTTCATTAAACCCTTAAAAAGATACAAATCGATTTTTAATAGTTTTTAGGCTGTTTCCAATAAGCGTTAGGTATTTAGTGTTTGAATTTTTATCACGAACTGATATCATTTATAAAGTAAAAATTTCACACAAAAATATGAATGGTGATATCAGATTAGTCCATCTTTAAAATATAATGCCACTAAAGTTATGTTTATTCCAGAATGATGGATTTGTGGTTAAGTTTTAGGAATACTGTCAACTTCCAAATAAGAACTTTCGTCTAAATTTGATCAAATAGTTTCACAATATTTGGGCACCGAGTTAATGTCAAACATTAAACAGAAAGAATGTATTTGTAAAATCTCAGCAAATGAATTTCAAGTAAATTCAATGTTTCGTCTGGCAATCTGGTGCAAGTTTTCTTAAGGAAATAATAATCAAATATCAAATTCATCGAATATAAATAGGTATCTGATCCTCCGGTTTACTGTATACTGAATAAGTCATCTAATCAACTTTACCAATGCTTAAAGTAGGTATATACATTAGTGTGTAAGAGACATGTGGTGTGAAACGAAAAGTGTACCAAAATATAATATTGAATAAAGTCATTAATAATAATAATAGTAATAATAATAATAATATATTTTCGTAAAATTCACCGACACCAGACAAATGTATAGTGAATGAAATTTCTTCTTCTCACCGACGTATACACACAATCTGTTATCTTAACACTTTTCGTTTCACACCACATGTCTCTTACACACTAATGTATATACCTACTTTAGGCATTGTTAACTTTGATTGGATGAACGTCGACTTCCGTTTCATAAACAATCTAAAGTAACATATTAAAGAGTTCGATAAGTTCGACATCATCAATTTTACTATATGGTTAAAGAAAGAGTAATGTTTCTCTACCATTTTAAATGTTTTGCGCAGTATATAAATGCATTTTTACTAATTGTCATATATGATACTTGAATTCCGTACAAAAATCTAACAGTCACGTTCACTATTCTACTTGCATTTTCTCCAAAGTATACAATTACCATGTACAGATTCCAATGGAGACCGACTAAATGAAGACTCGAATTTGATAATACGAACATTTATGCACGTTAAAACGTTGGTGCTATTTAGACTCTATAGCTTAATAAAGAACAAGGCGTTCGAAACAATAAGTGCTGGTTTCGAGTCGCAGTTTGAACATTAACAATGAAATCTAAATGCAACCAGCCGATGAGAAAAAAAATGAAACAAATTATGTATTTCAAATTTTACTGCTAGCCATAAAAGAGAAGATGATAGTAAGCAAGTTTACTTCAGTCTTATGATAAAGCATGATTTCTTGTTTTAATTATCATGATACGATATTTTATAGCATCAAATCACAAGCCTCATAAATATAAACAGAAATTATGGTAAATTTATAGGCTACCCAAATGTTACACAAAATATTATAAACTCACCAGATATCTCAGGTGGGTGATCACAAAAATCTAATGTCTGAAAAACAACCAATAATGTGATATTTAGTCACTCAATGAATTTATTAATGTTGTTTTGTTTAGATCACTGATCAATGTGAGATATAGAACTACTGAAAATCTGGGAGCATTGGACAGCTGTTTCGTCATAGTATGGAAGCCCTTACCATTAAGGATTCACAGCCACAGAAGATATAGAACCCAGAGCCTTTTGTCTCACTCACAAGCGTCAAATCTTCAGGACACCGACCTGGGATTCAATGATCTAGAAGTTTGACTTCAGTCAATCATTAGTATCGCACAACCATCATCCATTTTCTTTGATGAGTACTTTCTTCACAGTCAACACAGTTAAACTCCACTGGTAATGGGTTATCATTAAGACCCAGGAAATTTCCTCTCGAAGCCGGTCACTGATGAGCACATAATGATGATTAGTATGGGGTTTTGGCCTAATGTAGAAGATCCTGGGTTGAATCCTTAAGGGCGAGGTGGTAGATGAGCATTGATGAGGAGCCCCATACGAGGATAAGAAGCTGTCAAGTACTTTCGGATGTTCAATAATTGTCTTAGATCGGTTCGTGATCTCAATAATTCTCAGCAATTTCCATGACCCCAGTATTGATAAATTAATAATAACACATTTTCAAGTTAAAACTATAGGAAACAAACTGAGTTAAGTTATTAATGTAAGATTAAAGTTCGACAACTAATCCCAGTAGATAAAATGCACGTATTTCATGACTTGTGAATAACTTAATGTTTCGATTAAGACCTGATTACAACATCAGAGAGATTTATACTGCCTCTTTCAGTAAATTACCGTGATCATCTCTAACATTTATTTGCTTGAAAGAAATCAAACTTAGTCAAGTTATGTAACTTAATGAAAATGATAATTGCGAAATGTGAACACATTAAGTCTCGGTGAAATTCCGTTTATTGTTCAATCTAGTGAGGTAAACATCAATGTCGCATCAACAGATACGTAATTCATTTCACTTAACAAAATGCAAATAAATGAAAAGTAAACAGAGGGAATCTAACGATTTTCAATGTTTACTTTTAACTAAACTGTTATTGAATGTACAATACATTTCTGTTCAATTAACTAAATATTAGAATGCATCCAGTCATCAAATTAGTCACTTTAATGGTTTCACTACATTGAATCCAAGATAATATTACTGGCTTATTTATGCCTGTTAGGTGTATCAGAAAGCTTGTATAATCTTTATTCATTTTATACTAAGTAAAGTTCGATATCACGGAGTCTTAAGGTGTGATCAATTATTGAAAGTCCGAAATTTCTAATTTTACACTATTTTCAACAAAATAAGAATAATTTTGGTTGGTTTTCAAGCTATTCAATAGCATATTTTGACAGACAATATTTCATTATGAACTGATGTCAGCTGATGAATTATTGAAAATGAGAATTCTTTATAATTATCTTGTTTCGAGTTGAATCATTTCAAACATAGACGCACTTAAGTTCATATCCCATGAAGCTGGTGATAATTAGGTTACGGTTTGACTCGAAGGTTGATCTGTACAAGTTGTTGCATTATATCAACAAAGTAAAATTAAACCAACATCTAGATTATCATAGAATTATCAAAAATCTCGTATTGTGGTAATGGCTTTACTGATTCGATAATGAAGTACAAATAAGCGTAACTATGCGGTATAATAATCATTTAATGGGAACATTGGAGTTTTTTATTCTCGTTAAAAACACAATTAGCTCCAAAGTTCCTACTTGTAAATCAGAACTTTTGTTGGCCGACTACTGTGATTTCTGTCTAGGATTCTCATATGAGGGTAGATTTGTCTTCGTAAATCATTTTACTCCCTATAATTTCGTAACAAAACCTTCAAGTATTTTTGTACTGTGTGAAGTTGAATAAAATTATTTTTAGTCTTCTTTAAATGGGAGGCATACTGACATTTCTTATCAATTCATTTTGTACTTAGTACTTAATCATTATGTTTCTGATTTCTCCTCTCAGACTATCTTGAATTTGCTCTTGTAAATTGTTAATTATCGTCAATTTCTTTCCATTAGTATATAGAGGTACATTTCATTGCTCTTGGTCTATCCTCTTACATAGTGTTTGATTATAATGCTATCTCAAAATAAACACACTTTTTCCCGACAAATTATCTGCCAGCTCTACATAAACTCATTCATAAACTGATTATTAAAATACCCAGTCACATATCTATACCTTTATTCTTACTGTCTTTAAAATGGTTAGTGGAACTATGTGTATGACATATCTATACAAATAACCTGTTGTCGTTTACCCAAAGATAATGAGTGATGTTGAAAGAGACCCTGAATCGAGGTTGAACCTAAAATAATCAATCTGACAGTTGTTATATAAACAACTAAGTGAATCGCTCATCGGTTGAATGAGTCTTTATAGGGTAACTATTCACGTTTTACATATATTTCTGGTTTATTTCAATCAGACAGCAATCAAATGAATAGATTATATAACTAATTATTCAAGATAACCGTAGTTAACCGTGTTTTCGGTTTTTATAAAGAGTATGACTAGGGTTGAAAGATGATACATTCTGTAGTTTAGTCGTGCAGCTTGTCAAGTTAATTTCATGTTCAATAATCTGAAACACACTATAGAGGATTATATGACAACTTAAATTTTATTTTAATAATCATTTTGTCAACTTCATACAAACAGGAAATCTTCCAAATACAGTCTAATTAGTAAAAACAATAATAAAAGTAATAATATTCAAGTGAAAGGAATCCTGAATCAACTTACAGCACACAAATCATATGGTATCACTTCCTGGATTATATAAAAGATATTTGACAAAAGTCCATTCACAAACATTCCACACTGAAAAAAAGAAACATTCAAGTGAAAAAGAAGAATACTAATATTTCCCACTTGCTTGAACTCAATATTGCCCAGGAGAGAGTTCAATGGAGAATCCTGATGAGCAGCCTATACTCCTCCACGAGGGGTAACAGGCATAAATAAGTTGAACTCAATATTAAAATAGAAGTTCTAGTTGATAAGCAGTGTCAATATAATTCAGCTCATGCAATATCATCCAAACGTTTCATCGTAGACTATAACTCATCATGAGTGTGTGCCTATTATATTTTTTAATCGGTCAACCTAGAATATCTTTACTTAATTTATTCAGGAACAACTATTTCATGTTGGAATAATTTGTTTTCATATTATTGGCACATAGAACATTCCCTGAAATGGTTGTATCACGTGCTACAGTAAAGAATAAATTGTGATATGAGGAAAGTTGATGAGAGTTACAAATTTCAGTCTGTAATCTATGGCATTATATTGTAAACTCAAAGGCTATTGGATACTATTCGTAATGGGATTAACTATAAATGAGAAAGGATGAGTACTTCAATTGATAACGAATTATCATCCAGCAGTTATTTGTTTACGAAAAAAGAAACATTTTTACTCTAAATTACATATTCACTTCAAGTGTGATAAACAGTGGTTCTTTACAAGTTGAATTATACATACTAACGATGAGATGATCGAACAAATTATCAGAAAACCCAATATTTACAGCAACCTGTCCCAAGTAAAATGTAGGTCATAAATAGACTGGATATTCAAAGTTTTCGATACAATGATTAAACGCAAAGTTTATTTTGAATGACTGACTGTAAAGAAAGTTATCTGTTATATTTCACTGTTAATACCCTTTATTGCATTTGTTAAAATCACGCATTTAAGTCGACTAGATCAAAGTTACGAACATACATTCTAGTTTATTAATCATTACTAACTTCTGTAGTTTGATATGAGTAAGCTAAATAGTCGGGTCAATGAAACAGAGAAAACTTGCCATCGACTTTAAAAACACAACTCTTTATTTATGGCAACAAATGGTCGAGAAATCAACCTTTCAAAAACAAGAATGTAATATACAACCAAAAATCTGGTTTAGATTACAAGATGATATCAAGAAATCTAGGCACCACTGATTATTGATTAATGGCTTGAAAATGATCAATTGATTCAGAAATATAATAAATAAGGTATATTCTGTAACTTGATAAATTATATAATCTTCCTTAACAGTAAATTACTCACCGTTAAATAAACCCAATGATGAAATCATTACTTGAAGGAGTTGAGTAGTTTAATTCCCTTGGTTTTTCAAGTACGATTCATTGATAGATGTTGATAAGAACAAGATATAAGTTCTGGAGCTTTCTGTTTACCACCTCTAAATATCTCATATCCAATAAAGAGCACTTAGAATGTTGCTGACATTGAAGAGTCAACAGATATAATGTATAATGTATCAAGTCTTAGACTATTTAAGTAGGTAAAAGTTTGTTAGTAGAGCTATTTCTGATATCAGAAGTTATTCGTTAGCAATGAAAAAAACCAAGACAAATAGAATAATCCTTCAATGATATTATGCAATTCATTCTTGTTTATTTTGAAAACATATTACAAATTGATAGTGAATAAACAGATATTGAAAACTAAGGTATATCGAAGAATACTTTCATTGTTGTCATGTTTTAAGTAGTATACATTCACGATGTTATGTAAGATCAAATCCTATACATTAGACTCCACGTAATAATATACTATACTTTCAGATGATATTTCATGTACCGACACCTAGTCCATTACCACTGATAAGTTGAAATATTGTGGTCTTTTTTTATCTCACACATTGGTACCATATTTTATAGTAATGGCTATTGGTCCTATAAGTTTACGATAACAATATGATCGCTGTTAAATGACTGTTGTTTGGCAAGAAATTAATTAAAATCCAGGAAACTATTAAGCACTGAAACTTTTCAGTACCAGAATGTTTTGGTCTAACAAGAGAGTATGATGCTATTGATTCGAAAAATTACAGTTTATAATTTTTAAAACTTCAGTTATTTACTGAGAGTATGTTAATATCTACACTTGTTAACGTTTACTTCCTGTTACAAAGTCTAACATTAGTTAAACAATCGAAGTTTTATGCATAAAATTCTTGATTATGTAATGGTCGAGAAGTTTCTAGTTCATGTAGATGACTTGGATCGTGTTTTGTTCTCTGAGCTGGATGTTTTGATCAACCAGCTCAGAGAATAAAACTTGTGGTGTCGGTATTATGTTAAGCCCATATATCTTATTCTCGCTTTCGGACAGCTCAATCTATTCATCCTACTTGAGTCACATTTTGACCTTGTTAATTATCCGTTTATCAATCTACACTGTTTTTATAAAACCGCGTAGGTGTGTGTACATTTCTCATCCCATTACTCATCACATGTCTGTAACTTATTTTTGTGTAACCATAACTATTGATTAACGCTTGGTTAAATGGGGGTTGGCTTACCCGCCATCTCCACTGCGCGTCGTTTATCTTTTTTCTATTTCATTCGCTTCATATACAAAATATATATGTATGCAAAAGTCCATTCTCGTTATTTGACTTACCTAAATCCGTTATTGACTAACGCGATTAAAGTCGATGATCACATACGAGGATAGGCGACATATATATTTCAACAACAATCATCAATACAATCACCTTGGTGTCAGATCTCGGGCCACTAAAGTGGAGAGCTCTTTCGACAACATCGTTCGATCTAAATGACAACAAAATTAAGGGCCCTACAAACTATCAAAATTCTTCGTTGTTAATTTTTCTGCGTTTGACTTATAAAACCACTTACTCTATCATAGTTACTGAAAGACACATTTATATGCATGATTAAGTTGATATTAAAAGAAGTTAATAATTACTTACTGAGGTATTAAATGGACCAGTTCCCATGCAAACATTTGTAATTATACCACTGATTGATACATTTGCTGATGAACTTATAATTATATTTTTGGCTTGTTCAACACCGGATACGCATGCCATACACTCTAAATTGCGAGAGAGAAAAAAACAATATACACAATATATGATATGATTTATATTCTATTACTTTATATAAACTATCTGGCTTCCATTAATAGTTGATTCTTCATTTTAAAACAATTGAAATTTGTAATGGAGGGATAAAGTAGTAGATCTAATAGTACAATGCCTTTCTGTAATAAAATCTTTAAATGATGGAAAATTTTTGATATGGAGAGGAATAATTTCATCCATTGCAGTATGAATGACATATAAAATTCACGTTTCTCAATCGTTTGTGACACTTATTTACACGTTAAGTAAAATTACTGGTGCTTAATTAGTAAATATGTAGTCACATAGTAAGTTATTATCAGGAAGGGATCTTGTGGAGATTGTAGTAATTTATTAGTTGGATTCATGAATCAATTGATGTTAGACTACTATGGAAAACCTGGATGCACTGGACGGCCGTCTCGTCCTAGTATGGGACTCCTCAGCAGTGCGCATCTACGATCCCGCTCGCGAGATTCGAAACTATGACCTTCGGTCAGTTCAATTTATACAAATCTGGCTGTTAGTTCGACTGAAAATAAACTATACATTATGTGGTGTCTTCATAACTCATTTATTGATTTATTTTGGGAGTCAAATAAATCTTTATCACCAGTCTATGCTTTTACACTCTAGACCTCTACTGTTGTATTCAATTTGACGAGGGCCTTTAGTCTGGGGTTATCGTAATCGTCTGAGAAACCCAATCGATAGTTCAGTTATCGCACTTATCATTACTTATATCGCCAATACACATAATGTTATCAATAAAATTGCCTGAAGTCAACTAACATGTCTATTCCTTGTATGTTTTGTTGAATAAGATACGTAAAGTATTTGCAAATAGTCTATTGGACGAAGCCAACCACGAATGAACTAACATATATATAAACAATGAGTATTCTTCTCAACATATTTTTTATCAGGTCACAAATTCAACTGACACACAAATATCATTACGAAACTATTAAAGAACACAATGCTAATCATTTGAACCAGTCAAGAGTTTGAGGATGTTTACATAATGCAAAGTATTTATTTACTAAATCGTTTTTATATCATTTTAGATTTCTTTATTAGACTGGTTGTTGTGACTATATGAAATATGCTATGTATCACTAAATCTTCATTGAAACTTCATTAAAATCTATCTTGTAAATTACCTTAAATGTTAAATTACGGTGTTTGAAAGAAATATATTTTGTTACTTATATACATCATGGTTTCTCTCAATCGATTCATTAATATACAACATTTCATTTGAGAATATTACATTCGATGTGCTGAAAATCCCCTGAAGTGATTCTGTCTTATTTAATTGACAATACAAATAAACCAGTTCCGAAATTGTGTATTTCAAAGCTGATACAAATATACACACAAATCATTCCGTATCAATATATATTTTGTAAGTCAATTGAAACTAGATCACCATGAAAAACCTGGAAGCACTGGACGACCGTTTCGTCCTAGCATGGGACTCCTCAGCAGTGCGTATCCACGACTCCGCACCCCGTGAGACTCGAACCCAGGACCTATCGGTCGAGCGCCAGGTGCTTAACCAACCAGACCACTGGGGCGGCATCCAACGGTGTTAATGTCTAACTCCAACCAATCCACGAAGTTCGCGGAGTGCAGGATCGTGGATGCGCACTGCTGAGGAGTCACGTTCTAGGACGAAACGGCCGTCCAGTGCTTCCAGGTTTTCATGGTGATCTAGCTCCAATTGACTTATGATTTCATTCAGTGAAATTTCTAAAATCTCCACAAAACCCCTTCTGATATATCTGTAGTTTAATGAAGACAAGTACACTTACGATAAAGATTTGGTTGACTTCGTCTTCTAAGATCCTGCTTTTTTTAAAGAAATAAATTATAAAGGATAAATTGAACAGAAAGATAAAATGTCAGAAGGTAATTTTGATCTATTTAACACTGGCACGTATTCAGTCGTGCATAAATGATCTGTTCAGTATATATTAAAATAAAATCGGAACTAATCTGCAATTCTGTCAAGTTTTAATCATTCTAGTCCCTAACAAAACCGTTCGAGTATGAAGCTTCCACACTGTTCACAAATAACCAGTTACTTAAGCTTAGTCCTATCAACCTAATATGGTATATCAAAACTAAATGGATTTTTGAGTAAACTATGAACGTAGAACACTGATTGTTTTAATCTAAGCACATCGTTCAATAAATACATTGATCTAAATTTGGAATGACCTGGATTATCCCAATGTTAATATTTTGACTGAGATTTGATCTGTCTTGATTGGCATATACGTATCCTATGCGGATTGTCTTGCTGTAGCCACAGGTTAGTATTGATTGTTACAAGTAGTAATAAAATGTTTCGTTAATTTAAGTTATAAAATCGATTTCAATCTAATATAGTATTCTACATAAAACAGATGGGATATAACCAGCAGTGGAATCCATGACGCACGCTTCATTCTATTTAGGTCTCGTCAGCTGGATGTACTGGTATCATAAAGTTGGTGCCCAGTCCGTTGCAAGAGTGAATGACTACTTGTACTCAGTAGTTAAGTGGATGGCAATTGAAGCAAAAAGACAGTGAAATGAGTCTCCGGAGAGGATACCAACTCTAGGATTCAGATAAATCCATCTGACGAGTTTCGAATAGGGCGAGATGTGTGTCATGGATTTCATTGCTAGTTACATCTCGTCCATTTCATATACATAACTATATTGGCTTGAAATCGACTTTTTAACTTAAATTACCGAAACATTTTATCACTACTTGTAACAATTAATACTTTCTTGTTGCTGATCATAATGACTGTATTAAATTAGTATGCATTTAGCATATGCACATCATGAGAGGATACTTTTGACTTTGCCATTTATACACAATTTTTTGTTAAATTTGGACTCAGTAACAGAGTAAACAACGGGTTGACTTTTAAACTTGTAGGCAATTTGGTCCAGTACCAGTGTAAACATGTACAGTGAAATGTATGTAGGTCTTTATCCCCTTAAATTATACACACTTGAATGATATCTTATATTTTGGTTCTCTTCAATCGTTTCATACTCATAATATAGATTTGTGTGACTGTAGGAAGTTGCCAGAAACTATGTGACTTGATTTTCCTGTATATTAATGAGAATTAGTTTGGTATTTTTAGTGTTCAACCCAAAGTTGCAACTCACCTCTCTATACAATATCCTCATGAATATTTAAAATAATCCATATTAAATCATGTATAATAATAAAATTATATCAACCAATGTTATTAAATGGATAAGTATAAAATAGCATTACAAAATCACAATTGATCTATGAATGATCTAATGAATTATCAGGGATTTCGTGGAGATTTTAGTAATTTTATGATTGAATTCATGAGTCAGTTGAAGCTAGACCATCATGGAAAACCTGGAAACACTGAACGGCCGTTTCGTCCTATTATGGGACTGTTCAACAATGCGCATCCATGATCCCGCCTCACGAGATTTGAACCCAGAAACTATCTCTCTCAAGCTCGAACGCTTAAACAATAGACCAATGAGCCAGCATCCAATAGTGTAAATACTTAACTTCAATTATTCCATGAAATTGAGCGACACATACACTTTTGTCTCCAGTGGGTTACCGTCTCACAACAGACCCAATCGAACTCCACTGATAACTGCTTTTCATAAGAACTCTAGGAAATAGCTCTAGAAAGTTGTAATCTTTCAGTCTACTTCATATGAAAAACAGAGATTATAAATATCTCAACTTCATTAAATATTCAATCAGACAATTTTCATTGATTTTACTGACCTTTTGAACTTGTAACTGTTGTGTAGAATCTTCCATTACATTATCCATACAGAATACTGAAATTTCAAAAGAATACAATGTAAGATGAATAAGAAATTTCATGAATTCACTACTTACCTAATGAAATAAGTAAACACAATATACATAATGATTTCATAGTTAATGGTTAATTATTATCATTCTACTTTAATTATATAATGAATATTTATATATAAATTGATCAAGAATTGTTTTTCTTTATCATTATTCCTTTATCTTTATCAACTGCATGAACTACATGATTGATCTTTGTTCACTTCAATAACAAAAATTCATTGTCACTTATCTTCGTTTCAGTTTCAACATGAATATGAATGTTAAAAAACAAACCGTGGGTAAAGTCCTCAAAAAAAATAATAAGAAGAAGGTAATAAATGTCTATAATATTTCATTGATGTACAATTGTTTATAGGTTTTGAATAAAATCAGTCTTTTGTTTAGAATGTAAGTTTATATATATCACATCGAAACTCTGGTATCTCCTCATTCTCGAATAAATCTTTCACCATTTTACTAAAGATTTCCGTAGGGAGGCACAATACAGATGAATCTAATCTCATTTCTTCCAACTCCTTCTACGCATGGAGTATTATTTGTGCTGAAAAATCTATATTGTACCAAAATATGATATTGAATAAAGCCATTAATAATAATAATATATTTTCGTAAAATTCACCGATACGAGACAAATGTATAGTGAATGAAATTTATTCTTCTCACTGACGTATACACACAATCTGTTATCTTAACACTTTTCATTCCACACCACATGTCTCTTACACACTAATGTATATACCTACTTCAAACGTTGTTAACGTTGATTAGATGTATACAGTAAACCGGAGAATACTGCACTTATTTATATTCGATGAATTTGATGTTTGATTATTATTTCCTTAAGAAAATTTGCACCAGATTGCCAGACGAAACGTTGAATTTACTTGAAATTCATTTGCTGCGATTTTATAAATAAATTCTTTCTGTTTAATGTTTGACATTAACTCGGCACCCAAATATTGTAAAACTACTCGATCAAATTTAGACGAAAGTTGTTCTATATTAGATTTGATAAGTTCAAACGAATTCAGTAATGTACAGTTTATCTACGATTTTTAAAATTTCAATGTATTTATGGTGTTCCAGTGAGCATAAAATGCAGTTTTTGACGTTTTTGTAACTTACAGTTTAGTTGCTTCTTCAAAAGTTGAATAGCCAAATTCAAATGAAGATATGATTGAATGATTAATTAAGTATCTTATCTGATATAATATGTCTTTTGTGATAATTTATAGCGTTAACAAATGCTGTCAATATTCACTGTTTTCACCATACCCAGTTAACTAATGATGGAATTGATATGGAAATTCATGATAAACAACCTTTATTTTACTGTAAAATTATGTCGGATTTAAACATTTCGTTCACGTAGTGTACGTACTTATAAGTAGTATAACTCTTAAAACATAATTCAGCTTCTAAGATGAGAATTCAAGTCACAAATCTGGTAATTTCACTCAATGTATTCAACCTCCTATCTAAATGAAGTTTAGAGAGTAAGTAGAAGGCCAACGGACTTAATATGTACTGTAGAATATGAAATCATGGATAAGTTCAACCATAATTGATTTTCTTTTATTCGTGTTTCAGCAGACGTATCTGTTTTGTATATCCTGTGAGAGAAATCAGCGATTTGTAATTACAATCGACAGTCGATTTCTATATACTAGTCCCTGTTTTGTGGATATCACACCTCAAATTAACCAGTGGTAATACAAATATTTCGTTGTTGGAACTATTTTAACGATTTCCATTAATTTGTTGTAAAAGCATGATAGAAAGCATTAGCTGATACAAACTATGTTACCATGATCGTTTGAGTGACAAATATCAAGATATTCTAAATTTACTGAACTTATTCAGCTTATCATATTTCTAATGAACGAGAACACAAGTGGGGACAACCAAATGTATCGCAATACAAATGTCTTAGTAAATACTCCATTTGCAAAATGTTAATCAATTATATCAAACTTGACTGTCCCTTCGTTTTCACATCAATTATTGTCTGTTCTCGTTTTCTTTTTTCTATCCTCTTAACCTTCTGCCACCAAGCATTTCATTTTCGATTGTTGATACATACTACTTATATCTGTAAACATCGCTAGCACACACCATACTATGAATAAATTAATAGTAAATTGGCTAAATATCTAATGTATTCAGATGATTATTATAATTCAGTAAACTGGAGAATTGAGAAACCACTAGAAACCAATGAACGCAAACGGCTGTTTCATTATAGTTTATTTCTGAAGGACAATAACTAATTCACTTGCTCAAACAGAATGCAAAACGTTGAGATCTCATAACGAATAAGATGTCATTCAATCAAAATCCCAATCTATTGTTTACCGTTTTTAACTGTCATCATACTCACAAAAAGACCTGATGCTTACAATTGAGAGTTTATAATCAGTACCACCAAACTATACTATGACATTTACGTGCTTCTCTCGAGTTTGTAATAATATTCAAATAGATGTTCACTTGTAAAAATAAACCACCTTCTAAACAAAATACTTAGGACTATACAGTAAGAAATATCTACATTAAATCCACTAGTTCAGTATACTTTTACTTTAAAGGTTTTTGGGGCTTTAATTTTATCTGTAGGTGGTATTTGTTACGGATTGATCACAATTAACTTACTATAAAAAAATTAGGAGCATTCGATGGTTGTTTCGTCCTTATATTTGACTCAACATTGCAGACCCACAACTTTAAATGTTCCTGGAATTTTATCGGCAAGTTAAAACCTATAAAGTTCAGAAATGTTGGGAGTAAAACAGCCACGTCAATGACCTCAAACAATCATTATGAATCGATTGAAGTTTGAAACATGTATCAGTGGATGATAATCTAGTGATTTGATGGTTTAATGCACATAATTTGACCTAAACGTTCTGGTTCCCATCTCTGAGTGTACATTCTGAAAGAGTCCTATACTAAGGAAAGACAACTATCCAACACTCCCTAACTTTCAATGTTACCCCAATTAAATAAATTACACACAGTAAATACAAATATATAGGAGTCTAGAATTATATTGGCTAAAATTTAACCATCTTCATATACTCCCTTCCATGATTAATTAGCTTTGAACACACCTAATAGATGATCTAGAGTCAATTTATCATTTACAAGAAGTCCTTAACAATAGTTTATTTCATTTACGTAAATAAACCTTAAAACGTTTCTCCTAGTACACAAACTAAAACTTGTTTTTCTTCTCAAAAAAGGGGGTATGTGATTGTTAGTATTTAGATTATAATAGTACCAATCAAAGTGAATGAACGTTTGACTTTAGGTCGATCAATATTTAGGTCACCTCTATAAGAAATAAATAACTATTTAAATAAATAATAAACAAATAATAACTGATCTATCTTTTTTTTTCCTGATCTGGATCACTAATGATCATAGATTGAAGGATTGAATTATTAAAACGTTCATTGAATATCTAACTATGATTGATAATATTCAACACTTGCAAACATGAACAATTCTCAAGAACTCCTATTCTCACCATACAGACGAAACCCCGGTGAGTATACAAATAAATTAAATGATAATTTAGTCATAAACTATGTTATTTTGAAAATATGGATGATTGATTCTTGACTTTTTTTTAAAACTTTTTCATGGTAAATGACTTTATTCAGAGTACAATATGGAATTTGTAGAACACTTATTGATCTCTCTTAAATCTACTTGATATACTACCTGAAGATCATAGATTTAATCCTATCTGAGATCTTTTTTTTGTGTGTATTTACTGTCTAGGAGTTGCAATCTTAGATCTAACAGTTATTTATCAATGGTTGATTTTGCAATGATGCTCGAAATGATAACAATCCGTTACAAAATCTGTCTTTAATACTATTCAGTTGTTTGACTATATCTAATATTGAACACAAAAACATAGCACAACATAGTTGTTATTTTTAATTATGTATACCATAAGAAGATTTGCTAGTCGGACAACCACTGATCTAGGTTAAGTTTTTTTAAAAGTTTGAATTTTCTAGACTGTTAATTAATATTCATAACTTTAGAGAAAGTCATATTTATTAGTTATCAGGAGAATGTGATTCTCTGGTGTGTGCTACTGATGTCGACACATATAAGTAGTATGTGTCATCAATCGAAAGTGAAATGCTTGGTGGCAGAAGGTTAAAAGGATAGAAAAAATAAGAACGACAACAATGATTGATGTGGAAATGAAGGGAAATTCAAATCTGAGACGATTGATTGACATTTTGCGAATGAAGTATTTATTGTATGGTTCTATGATTTTACTGAGATATTCTGTAATTTTTTATTGAAATATATTTTGTTGTCCCCACTTGTGCTCTCGTTAACTGCGGTTCTACCTAATAAAAATATGTCATTCCATACTATGGGTTACAAGAATACTGTCTTATGCGACATATAAATATGTAATAATCTTTGAACCACACTTACTATGAGCGTTATTGGAAAAGAGTGAAGTTCAGACGAGCTAAATAATAGTTGAAAGTCGAGCGTTTGAACAATTAAAACATTAAAATGTATAACACATAATACTAACTAGCATAGATAACTGGATGCCACAATGGTAGTCAAAGTGAATTTGAAAGCTCTGTCATTCTTAACCTCATTGGTTTTCAGTATCATCAGAAGTTTACCGGAATAAATTCTTGTTCAATAACCGAAGATCACCTTTAAGTTATTCGTTACCTTGGTTTTATACTCCATTTGACTTTATCGGAATTTCATAGCAGTTATTGTTCATCACTAAAATTTATCTTAAATAATTGATGTAATTAATGTTTTATGAAAAGTTCTCATTCCGGTTAACTTGGTTTTGCATTCAACCACAATCTTCGTTACAATAGATCCCTTGAAAGAATGAATTAAAATATATCAAAGTGTTGTTCACCGTCCTCATTTTAGAATAAGTAGGGTAGTGTTGATTACGCCTGCAATGGTAACTAGTGACGTTTCTCCAATCATAGGAAGGAAGGTCATTGTTTTAAAGACACCACTAACACCGTTACTAAAATAGTTAAAAATCACAGTGTAAAATATTAATTCTCTTGAAAGTCATACAGCCTAATGAACATAGTGTAGTGAACGAAAACTCATCTGGGGAAAGC